GCTGCTTCCCTGTGCTGGCTCAGGCTGGAGATAGAGCCCCATCCCCTTCCATGCCCCCTCCTAGCAAAGGAGGGCCTGCTGGAGTTGAGTATCCTACACCAAACACCTACCAGCAGGGAGATGCTCCTGGGGACACCCTAGTTGTTCCCCAAAGCACAGCTGGCCTTTTTGAGTGGAGCTGGAGGCTGTGGTTGGCATCACACAGCATCTCCATCATATGCTGTGTCACCTGAGAGAATAACAAAAGGCCCTGAGCCAAATCCTGCCCAGATCTTTTGCTGGGAGCCAGCCTGTTGCAGGGTGAAGCTGTGACCAGCAGCCCAGCATGGGGACCACCTCTCTGCTCCTGAGGGTGTGACAAAGCTGGTCTCCAGAGTTGGGTCCTCCCTCCACTCACTCCTCCTCTCCCTCAGCCTCTGCCCTCCACCGGTGACAACCTCCAGCAACACCTTTTGGGATCAGAGCCACACAATGGGACCTCCCCAGCAGGTGAGGGCTGTCACAACTCCATGGGGCCTTGGGGACAGCTGTCCCCACAGCCCTAGGGGCTGCTCACTGTTCAAGTCCCCCTGTGACAGTTCTCCTCTCTCCTTTCTGCCAGGGCCACAGGGCCTCCAGACCCCAGGCAGCTGCCCCCCTGGAGACAGGGTCTTCTCCCACCAGTTCTTGCGTCCTGAGCAGCTCCTCGAGGGGAAGGTAACTGGAACAACTGGGGAATGGTGTGCTAGGTGAGAGGGCCGTGTTTGGGGCACTCAGCCCAGCTCTTATTGCACCAGGGACATGGGAAACTGGGTCTTCAGGACACAAGTGGGTCTTTCCAGGGAGATCCTGTCATCTTGCCTGGAGCAGTCAGGTTTTTCCAGCCCCTGCAGCCACCAGTCATGGGCTGTTCTGTGTCCCATCCTCTCCCTAGGATGCAGAAGCCATTTACAACTGGCTCCGTGAGTTCCAGCTGGAATCATACACTCTCAACTTCATCAACGCTGGCTACGATGTCCCCACCATCAGCCGCATGACCCCGGAGGTGAGGCAGGTCCTTCCCCACCCAGAGCTGCCAGCTGTGGGTGCTCCCTGCCCCCAGCTCCACTGCTGACCCCCACTCTGCTCCCCTTAGGATCTGACAGCCATCGGTGTGACCAAACCAGGCCACAGGAAAAAGATCTCTACAGAAATCGGGCAGCTCAGCATTGCTGAGTGGCTGCCCAACTACATCCCGGTGAGTCCCTGGCACTGGGGCTTTGGTCACCCCCTTCTTGAGAGCGCTGTGACCCCAGGATAGGATAGGACAGGATGGGGTCTGTAAGTGAATAGCTTTGACTGGGTTAAAGGAGTCAGAGACACCCTAAAAACAGTCTCCTGGGCAGGGAGGGGATACTGAAAGTGCTGCCCATTCCTCAGTGCTCATGGCAGTGGCTCTGTGCTCTTTCCAGGCTGACCTGATGGACTGGCTCAGTGCCATTGGGTTGCCCCAGTACCACAAAAAGCTGGTGAACAACGGCTACGATTCCATCACCATAGTGACAGACCTGACATGGGAAGACCTGCAAGAGATTGGCATCAACAAGCTGGGTGAGTCCCTCCTGCCATGCTGGAGTGGCCCAGGGCAGCCAAGTTTCCCACCCAGGTCCCCACACCCTGTCCTGCCTCAGGCTGGGAGGTGCAGGCATGTCCTGAGCACCGGAAAGGGCAGTTCCTGGCTGTCCATAAGAACTCTCCTTGGCCAGCTGGAGCTGGGCCCAGCTAGGTAGATGCCAGCAGTAGTTTGTCTCCTCCCATAAGGCAGGGTTTAGATAACCCCAAGGCCTTTGCCCCATGTGTGACATAACTACTCTTCTTGGCCTGGAAACAGGCCTTGGGGGTTGGAGCTGACCCGATGTCCCTTTCCTTCCTGCAGGCCACCAGAAGAAGATCATGTTGGCTGTCAAGAAGCTCAGAGACCTCCGCAAAAGCCTCAATCAAGCAGAAGCAACTTTGGCAAGACGCAAAGTCCCCGGTTCCCTGGACATTGTCACCATTGAGTCGCTGGAAAACGGGGAGTGCCAGTCCCCACACACGCTCAAAATGACAACCTTCCAGGACAGTGAGCTCAGCTATGAGCTCCAGACGGCCATGTCCAACAGCTGCCACGACACACTCGGCATCAAGAGCAGCCAGGGAATGTCACGGAGCCAGGAGAGCATCGGGGTGCGGTCGCGGGGCTCGGGGCACTCGCAGGACAACGTGCTGTCCCGGCGCCTCTCCAGCCCCTCGCAGGAGAGCCTGGGCAGCGGTGAGAGCAGCAGCAGCAGCGGGCAGTCCTGCGCACCCCCCCGCAGCAAGGAGAGCCCGGCCAGCCTGCCGGGCCGGCCCAGCCCCGAGCCCTACGGGAAGCTCGTGTCCCCCGAGGGGCTGAACGGCTTTGCCAATGGTGGCGGCGGGGGCAGCCCTCTCAAGGAGAGGAACCTGCCCGAAGGAACGGATCAGTACACCCGGCCTACGGCTCAGAAAGGAGCTGGGACTCCAGCGGTCACTCCCTGTACTCCTCCCCAGACTCCCAGCAAGGGAACAGCCCCGTACGTCTTCATGTACCCACACGTCTCCCTGAAATCCCCGACGGCCCCGTCCGTCCTGGGAGCAGAGCAGCCCAAGGCCCTAGCACATCTCCCCTCCATCTCCCCTGCACAGAAGAGCAGCCTGCAGACGTCAGCCCAAAAAGGCTTCTCCTACCTGCACAGCCAGTGCGGCCCCACAGAGCCACCCAGCACAGCCCCCACGGCTGGGGAGCATCACAACGGAGGCGAAGGCCTGAAGCACAAGAAGCGCTCGCACAGCCTGAACCGCTACGCGCTGTCGGACGGGGAGCACGAGGAGGAGGAGGGGGCCCCCAGCAGCACCCTGGGCTCCTACGCCACGCTGACGCGGCGGCCGGGCCGCAGCCAGATGCCGCGGGCCTGTCTGCAGGCGGACGCCAAGGTGACCCGGAGCCAGTCCTTCGCCATCCGGGCCAAGCGCAAGGGGCCTCCCCCGCCGCCGCCCAAGCGCCTCAGCTCCGTGTCCAGCGCCCTCGCTGCCGAGGCAGACGGGGAGCAGCCCCCCAGCCCCGAGCGCCAGCCCACGGCCCCTCAGGACGTGGCTGACGGAGGTGCCACCCCCAGCGATGCTGGCCGTGGCAGGACCGTGAAGAGCCTGGCGGCTGCGCTGGAGGGAACACCAGGTGTGAGTCCCTCCAAGCCCCTCCTGGCCCCAAAACCGCTGCACCTGACTCGGGACTGTCTCCCCCGGGCAGATGTGGGTGAGGGGTCCCACGATGGCAGTGACACCAGCGGTGCCACACTTTCCAATGGCAGCAGGGACCCCTTTGAGAGCGGCAAGCCACGGAGACGGACAGTGAGTGAGCCCAGCGCTCCTATGACAGAGGTGGCTGCACAGGGTGAGCAGGAGGATGCCTGCTCAGACACTGAGGAGGAGGCCAAGCCAGGGGTCTCCTCTTCATCGTCCCAGAACAGCTCCAGTGAGTGCATCCCCTTTGCAGAAGAAGGCAATTTAACCATCAAACAGCGGCCAAAGCCCAGCGGGCACTCCAAGGCTGACGCGGCCGTGCCGGACATGGAGCCTGGTTCCCAGCCAGCAGAGCCGCAGGGCTCCGGTGGGAAGGAGGCAGCAGCCCCCGCTGGCAGCAAGGAGCCGCCCGTGCTGGAGTTCAACCTCACCGAGTCGGACACGGTGAAGCGCCGGCCGCGCTTCCGGGAGCGGGAGCCGCTGCAGGCGGTGCTGAAGGCGTTCAGCATGGCGGGGCAGGCCGAGGCGGGGGGCACCCCCACACCCCAGTATGCCCAGGCCCAAGCCGTGAGCATCGCGGGCCCCCCCACCTCAGCACCAGCACCACAGCCCACGCTGGCTGGGGATGCCTTTGATGATGACAGTGTGGAGTTCAGGATTGCTGAGATAGAGAAAAGCATCTTGTCGCTGGAGAAAGGGATGAAGAAGGCCCCAAGTCCCACCAAAGCCCCCAGCCCCACAGAGCTGGTTGGCACAGCTGTGGTGAGGACACCCACTCCAGGTATGAGGGCTTGTGGAGCTGTCTCCAACGTGGTGGTGGGGCTTCCTCCCATGTTGGTGTGGGAGGTGAGGAGGACCTGTGCCACCACCTACCATGAGTCCCCTTCCTTTGCAGATGTCCCTGCCAAGCACACCTCCGTGGCATCCACCAAGCTCGTCTTCTCTGGACCCAAGACCATCTACCAGCAGGTCCTGCAGCCCTCCCGCCACACTGTTGCCCCCTGGGCGGCCACCGAGGCGGTGCCAGATGTGATCGGGGCCCTGCCCGCTCCTGGCTCACTGACAATGGAAACAGGCAGCAAGGTATCAGCCAAGCCTTTGGCAGCTGCCCCGGGGGCCACCCTGGCCCAGCAGCGGCTGGAGCAGACCAACTCCAGCCTGGCTGCCACGCTGCAGGCGGCCGAGAAGAAGATCACAGTGGAGGAGGCAGAGAGGTGAGGGAAATGCTGGGGCTGGGCCTCTCGAGGTGGGGTTGGGAAGGTCCCAGGGAGGGCAGGAGAAAGGCTGTGCATGGCTATGTCATACCTGCACCACACAGGTCACACGTGCTCAAGCCCAGCTCTGTGCTGAGCTCCTGCTGCTGGGTCGGATCCAGCCTGGCCAAACCTTCCCCGTGAGCACCTGCAGCCTTTGAGCAGTGCTTTGACTCTCTCCCTCTCCTCCCCAGCCACCCTGGAACCGTGCACTCGGCCAAGAACATTTTGGAAGACATCAGCAACATGTTCGACGACCTGGCTGACCAGCTGGATGCAATGCTGGACTGAGGCTTGCTCCCTCCTTCCCCTCCCCGCCCCGGCTGCTCCAGCAGTGCCCTCGCGATGGGGGAGGAGTGGATCCAGCACCGAGCGGTGCCTGCAGCTCTCTCCAGCCGCCTCCCTCCCCACACTTTGCACTGAGGCTGGGAACGAAGCTGCCCTCCTTGCCCGCCCTTGGCTCTGTGTCACATGTGACAGCGTGGCCTTGGGCCGGTTTCTGAGGGGGTCAGGCATTTCCCACCAGACTGGCAGCAGGAGGAGAGCCCAGAGGGGCTGCACATGCAGTGCTGGAGGCCACGGAGAAGCCCTTGCTCCCTTGCACAGAGCTGAGGAGCCTCCACAAGGGACCTTTCTCTTTCCCTACTGCATTGTCAGAGTCCTGCATCTTATTATTTATGCCCTGCCAACAAAGTGTCACAGGAGAGACCTCCCCGGGCCGCCGCCAGGGAGCTGGCGATTCACTGTGCAGCCGCAGCCCCGGCCAGGCCTGACAGCAGCTAAAAGAAGACAGGGCTTGTTGCAATTTGGCAGCTTGCAGAGCGAGAAGGAACCTTTCTGCTTTATTTGCCGCTTTTCCAAACGCGTCAGCATCGGCAGCGTGGAATCCGAGTGGATGGAAATCCCTCCAGTGGGACCCTCAGACCCCTGGAGATGGGGCTGGCACAGCCTGCAGAGCAGCGGATGCTCTGCCACGGCCATGCTGGATGTGTGAGCCTTCCTGCCCCTTCCCAGAGTGATGAGGATGGGAATGGCAGTGCCAAAAACCTGGGAATTTGGGCCAGTCCGTCTGGATCGTGCTGCTCAATGGAGTTTGCCCTCTGCCAACACAGTGCCTACGCAAACCCCCACCCTGGTCCTTCCAGAGTGCAGCAGCAGCAGCATGATTAACGCTTTTAAATTCTTTCCTCCCCTCCCTTATCCCTTTTTTTTGGGAGAAAACAGTCCCTTTTCCCGGTGCCCCTCCCCGCAGGGAGCTGCTGGCACAATCCCCGCCGTGAGCGTTGTTGTGCAGTAGCAGCGCTTGGGACGCGATCCTTCCTTCCCGCGGCTCTGCGGCCCGGCGGGGGAGCTGACCCCGCATGCACCGGGAATCGGGCTCGGGAGCCCGCGGAGCTCTCTGCGGCCGGGCGGGAGCAGCGGCTGCATCGCTCCCAGACACATTTCTCTCGCAGGATCTGCTCACTAGTGCATGGCTAAATATGTCCAAGAGCCCCGAACTTGGCTCGCGCTCGGCATGCCAAGCAAATGAAAGCATCAGAGCACCAGAAGGGAACCGAAGATTGTGCTGAAGTGCCATTTGCTACAAAAATTCCAAACAACGGGAAAGAAAATTCCACGCGTTTCCCTTTTCTTTTTTTAAAAAAAAATCACCAATGCAAATCCAAACCAGAGAGGGAGAAGGAGGCTGAGAAGGCAGCTGCTTCCCAATCCTGTTGGGAGATTGCAGCCCTTGTGCTGTTGGATGGAAGGGGGGCAAAGCCCACCTGAGCATTCCTGAGCGTCTCTGCTCCTGAGGGCAGCTGTGCCATGGGCTGCACAGCCAAGAGGTGCCAGCCTGGTTTCTGGGCTGAAAAGCAAAGACAATAAGCCCTGAAAAAATGTAAAATCCCATTGTTGTTTGGGACTTGAGGTCAGTGTGAGGCAGGTAAGACACTTCTTCTTCCCTGGCTCTGATTTCTGTCCCACACTGAGTGCATCCACTGCCTGTGTCTGAGTGCCACATCATGGACATGATGATTTCAAATAGCTACGACCAGTGGCACTTTATAAAGAGGTTCACAGAAACCTTTTAAAACTGATTTTTACTCTCACGAGTCAACTTGGGACAAGCCCAGTTGGTTTTTTTTTTCCAATGTTGATAAACTGTAAATGTTTTTTTTTTAAAGGCCAATGTATATATTTTAAATGTGATTTATTCTATATATTTACTAACCAGAACTGCAAGTCTTGGGTCAGGGATAAGAGGACACTGGGGTGGAGCTGCCGCTGTCTGAGCCACCTGAGGGCAGCACTACGCTGCTCTCATTGTCAATAAGGGAACTAAACATTTGATTTTGCAGAAGAATGCCTATTTTTTGAGCTCTAGATCTCTATTTTGAAGCTACTGTATGGTGTGTAAGTTATGTACACTGCACTGGGACTAACTGACCCCAGCTGCACCTGCTCCGTGCAGCGAGACAGTGAGGGGAAAAAATAGCCCATGTAATCACCAGACTGACAACAGATTCTAAACCATCTGCTCTGTTTGTGTTAATCATGTGTTTTGTTTTCCACTAACATCCATTAAGACTAAATTCTATTAAACAGTGGGGCATATTTTACCCTTTTTATAGTTTTGCCTAGTTGTTTGCTTTGTGTGAAATGGGACAAACTTGTTTCCTACTGCTTGAAGTCCATTGAAGATCAGCTTTATCCTGTCCCCTGAGTGCTCCAGGTTCCTCAGATATTCTCCCCTAGTGAGTCCCAGTCATGCCCAGTGGGGTGAATGTTCAGTGTGAGTCTCACTATCACGACAGTAACATGGTGACAGTGCTGGTGTCCCAGTGTCCCAGTGCCCAGCTCTGCCCATGTGCCACCTCCACCATCCCATGTGCCAGGCAGAGCATTCCTCCCTCCTCCTGCCTGCTCAGTGTGGCCACTGTCACCCCAGTGCCTTTTCCAGCTGCCCCCAACCTTCCACCCACCCAGAGGGATTCACACTGTGCCTCCAGCCTCGACTGAAGCAGTGCCTGGGATCCAGGAAACCAAACTTTGTAGGAAGAGGCTTTCAGAGATGGACAGATTTGCCCAAAGCTGAGCAGAAACTGGGAAAAAGGCCAGAACTGGATCCCAGCAGCATCAAGCTCTGGCTGTGTCCCTAAAACAGGAAAATCACACCCTGTGACCCCAGCAGCCACAGACATTTTTACCTCCTTCCTTTGCTGGGTGCAAACTCGTTCCCAACTCTTGGGTGTGTTATCCAAGACAATCATTTATTGCCATTCATATATTGGATGCTTGTGGGTCTGGGTTTGTTTCTTTTTTTTTTTTTCCTTTTTTATACAATTTACAGGTTTTAATACAAATGAAATATTTTTACATACATCCCAAAAAATTTAATATAAAATATACAGCATTTAAAAACATCTTGATGTAGGAAATTTCCTTCTGAAGCCATGCACTCTGAGCCTTAGACACTTCAATGGCTGAGGGAAGGGTGGCACTGGCAAGACCATCCTAAAGGCTCCATTCATACACTTTAGCTCCCTCCAATCTAGCTGGGGAAGGAGGATGCAGGAAAATAAACATTTGTGATCACCCAGAGGAGGAAATCTTGAAGGTGCCTTCTCTAGAGGAAGGTGTGGCCAGCAGGAAGCCCTGGAATCTGCTGCTTTTCAACACCCACAGCAGTTCATGGCACAGGACAGGAGCTGGGGTTGGGTGGGGGCACAGCTGGGACAGCAGTGAGCAGCTCTGTGCTGCTCTGACTCCAGCTCAGCTTGGCCACAGAGATCACAGCCCACTTGTGATCCCACCCTGGCATTGGGAAGGAAAGCTCATTTCTCAGGGGCCAGGTGTCACAGATCTGGAGCTGGCATTCAGTGAACTGAGGCTGAGAAAGGTGCAGCTTGTTCTCCCCGAGCCCTGCAGGTGCCAGGGCAGTGAGGGCACAGTCCAGCCAGGCTGGCAAAGGTGGGCAGACACTGCTGTGGTGCAGGGCAGGAGCCTGAGAGGCCTGTGCTTCCCCAGGGCGCTGCTGCCTCCCTGTCCTGTGCCATCCTGCCAGCATGGCATCTCCACATCCAACTGGGTCCAGGGCTTGGAACAGCCCCAGCTGCCCCCTCCAGCACCCTCAGTGTGTCCCCAGAGCTCAGGCTTGGCTGTACCAGCTCTGCTCCTCTGCCAGCCCCACAGCAGGGTGAGGGTATTGCTTAGAGACACTCAGCCATGTCTGTGCTCTCTGGTTATGCTGAAAAGTGAGGAAGACAAGGTGGAGCAGCAGGGCAGAGCCTGGGGGTTCCAGCCAGCTCCCTGCCTGCCCAGGAGGGATCAGCTGCCACTTGGTAATCTCAGGTACCAAAGAGGAAGTAACAGCCAAATACTGTAGTGTTAAATGTTGGGGCCAAAACCAGGGCCAGGGTTTACCAGCTTTAGTCAGTGTTTAGAATTAGAGTCAGTGTCTCCATGACCTGCAAATATTCTGGTAGCCAAGCCTGTGTGCTCCTGTGTGGCCCTTGGCTGTCAGCCCACAGCAGGACCAGTGCTCCCAGTACAGATGGGGTCTGGTCAGAGCTCAGGAGCTTGTGTGCTGCACTGGGACAGATCAGGGTTTGCCTGAGCCCTCAGGGGAGGGTTCCTCCAGGCAAACGAAGAAACCTCCAGAAAAACACTGAGCAGATGTTGCCCAGGGAGGCTGTGGCTGCCTCATGCCTGGAACTATTAAAGGTCAGGTTGGACAGGGCTTGGAGCACCCTGGGAGAGAGGAAGGTGTCCCTGCCCATGGCAGGGTGCCCATGGCAGGGGGTGGAACAAGATAAAGCTTTAAGGCCCCTTCCAACCCAAAGCATTCTGTGGTTCTGTGTGAAGGCATCAGCACAGAGGGGAGAGACTTCCCAGCACTATCACAGACATGATTGGGCGGGGTTCCCCGTGCCTTGGGGAGCCAGAACTGGCTGCAGCACAATCCAGGCACTGGGAAAGGAGCCATTCACCAGCTCTGCATTAGTCACAACTGCAAGTTGCAGATATCCTGCCTGGAAAGACATCCCCTCCCTCTAAGGCAGGACAGTCAGGGCTCAGGCTTTATCCCCTGTCTCAAGCAGGCACATTACTGAAGCAGAACAGCAGCTCGGATCACAAACAGGAGAACAGCTACAAAACCTCTCTGGGGGCTGTTAAAGAACATAAAAGCTGGCTCAAGAGGGCTGCAGAAGCTGAGCCATGCTGGCTCCCTGCAGGCAGGCAGAGCTGCCCTCCCTCGGCACCGGATCACAGGCGGCTTTGCCCAAAGCCCTGGCTCATCCCGCTCCCGACACAGCCAGCACACGGCTGGGACAGCGACACTAGAGGGCAGGGCTGGCCTGTTCCCACCGTCCCCTCGGGAGTGAGAGCTCCCAGCACGGGCTCCTTTGCCCCGGACACAGCGCAGGGAGGGCATGCACAGGCACGCACACACGGAGAACGGGCTGAAGTGGAAAACCAAAACGGGATTCAATAGAGATCTCCTGCTTCAGCAGCCCTACTGGTCCCAGATTCTCCTGCCAGGCCCAGGAAACCCATCTGCTCACAAAGAGGAGAGGAGCCGCTTCATTTTAGCATCGCCATGATACTAACAAATACCTCCAGTAATAAATAAATAAAGGAAGAGCAGCCTGAACAGGCACCAGAGCTTGCAGGTTCCTGTGAGGGTACCTGGTAGGCTGGGAGGGGGCTGCATACCTGTGGGGGGATCCCTGCCTGGGCCCTGGGAAGGTGCAGGTGTAGTTTTGCCAGGAGGCTGTCTGGTTTGCATGTGTGATGGAAAATTCCCTGAGCCTTTGGTGCAGCCACTCTCCCAGGGGCTGTTTGGCCCTGGCTCCAGGGAACTTGAGCTGGGTGCTTTTAAAATGGCGAATTCATCCCCAACTTGGTTTCAAACTGCAACTTCTGCCTCTTTTGGTAACGGACACGGACCCTGGAGAAGAAGAAAGAAGACAGTCAGTATGCAGAGGGGTGAAAGGTAAGACTGTTCCACTGCCATTCCTGAGCTGCTAGCCCTAAGAAGCAGGGAAGCCCCTGGCCTGGGCCCTGTGGTAGCCTGGGAGGGGAATGAAATCCAGAGAGCAACCCATGGTGTCAGTCCTACCCCATGCAGCTGAATCCCATCTCCAGGGACACCAGACACAGCACAGAAAGGTCCAGAAACCCTTTGCAGGAACTGAGATGGTGTCTCCATCCCCATCAGGGTTCCCTGTAATCCCTGCCTTTCCTCCCCAGCCCATTTCCTGAATCACTGTTGATCAGTGGTGACTCCAGCCCTGGCTGCTGCCTGTGCTGGGAAGAGCAGCCAGTCACTGCCTGCTACTCATTCTTGGCTTCAGCCACTTCCTGTGCAAAGCAGCCCCACAGTCCAGGCTCTGTGTGAAGGCACATTTCCTCTGCTGTGATTCAATGCCTCTCTGTCCTCATGGGACAAGATGGAGTGAGCAGCCCTCCCCAGTTCCACACTGGTGTTGGATAGACCTTGGCTGTCTCCCTGCCTTTGGTCTGAGATAAGGAAATTTTGTTCTCCCTTCCTGCTCCCAATCACTGCCACTGCCCTTCTGTGACCCTCCTTCCTCCCCTGTGCTTCCTCCCTGGGAGGTGGAGCGTGGGCCTGCACACAACAGCCAGGTGATTTACACAATGCAGTCAGCTTTTCCTTTTTGGTCCCCACCCTGCTCCCTGGGCATCATTATTTTTTGCAGCTCAAGGCCAGGCTACAGGGAGGCTTCAGCACTTTCTCCCCATCCTCCCTACAACCCCCATACCTGATTTCATGCAGCTTGACAATCTCATTGATGATAACCACAAGGACCAAGGAAAGAAAACCCAGGAGCCACGCGACCGGAGAGATGGAGACGTGGCTAAAGGTCAAAGAAGAGTTGAGGTTTTCCCAGAGTTTCAGGTCCAGCACAGTTTGTGCCACTTGCCCCAGCACTCTAAAATTAAGAACACACACAGCAAATCTCAGCAGACCTGACAAGATTCCCAGGATCTGCAGATCAGGGTTCAGGCCCTGATGAAATGCTCACACCAGAGACCCTTCACCAGTTCAGCAGTGGAGATCAAATGCCATGTACTTGATTCTCCTCAGCACCAAGAAACTGGTGCTGGAGTGGGTCTGGGATCCTGGAGCCCTTTCCCAGGGACTGTGGGTACTCACACAACAGCCACAGTGAGCGTCCACCAGCGGTTGGACAGGGGGCTCTTCTTCCACAGGGGCTTGGTGCGATGCACGTGGGTGATGGATATGAACACTGCAGACAAAAGGGGATTATCCAGCATCACACACAGGTACTGCACTTCACAAGGTACATCAACACCTGCTGCTTCTAAGGGATATGGGGCTCATGTCCCCAGAACCAGCTGATCATTTGGGGCTCCCTCAGAGCAGGCTCCTCACAGCAATTCCAAGCCCCTGGAATGCACTGGGGCAGTGCAGTGGTTGCCCTGCACACCACTGCTCACTGGGAGGTTGGTTCACAGCCTGGGAGCTGAAACAGAGCAGGCAAAGGCCCAGCTCTGGGGAGTGGGACAGGGCTGGGTGTGCCCTTGTTCCAGGGCTGCGACACAGGAAAGCTCCAGCCCAGAGAGAGATTTAGCCAGAGACCCAGGGCTGTCTGTACAGGACCCAGCATTAGCTCAGCTCTTACTTGGTCTCTTCCAAACAGCTGCCAGGCAAAGCACCCCTGCCTTGCCTTGGTGGTCTGAGGGACACAAAAGCACAGCAACCCACTCTCTCCAAAAATGGAGATCCAATCAGGAAGCATTTCTGTTGGCCTGGACACCTGCACATGTCAACACACAGTGCTCAGCCTGGGACATAAGGGACAGGGAACTGAGACCCTTCAGGACCCACCCTGCCAGGCAATGGGTGCAGGTGATGAGGGTCAGCCAGGAGCTGGCCCCACACCCCTCCAGAGGGTTTAAAAAGGCTTCCAGCTCTCAAACAGTCACAGCTGCATCAGTCCCCTTTGTGGGAAGGCAGTGGGGTATTTCACAGAATAGCAGCAGGGATATAAACATTTTTGAAGGAGGGAATATTTTTGGAGAGCTTCACGTGCTGGTAGTAACTTTCCAGAAGGTAAAAGGGATGAGACTGGACAGAACCAGCACTTCACCAGACTGGTAGGAAGCACAATCAGTTCTGAGGGTGTTGTCTTCAATCTGCCAAGATAATGTTTAGTGAGACAGGGGAATCTGTGCCTGTGCTGTGAGGCCACTGCAGTGTCTGCTTCTATCAGGGAGTTTGTGCTCTGGCATAGGGGGCAAAGAAAGAGACAGAGGATGCAAGCTTTCCCCCAGAGCAGAGAGTGGGGTTCTGGACTTACCTGTGTGCAAAACAATCAGGCCAGCTGTGAGCTTCTGGGCTACCAGGAGAGCATTGGAAAATGTCCCAAACCAGTCAGGAGCACCATAAGCATTGCTAGTGGATGAGAGGACACAGGAGAGTCACCAGTGGGCACTTAACTGACCTGTTCCCACCAGGGCCACATCCTCCTTCAACAGCTGAGGAATCTGTGGGTGAGCTCAGGCTGTCCTGGTGGTGACAAGGAGGTGACAGGGGCAATGATGTAGCTGTCAAGGCTACAGCCCTGGTGGGTGATGGAAGAGGCTGAAGCTTGTTAGAGGACTGGAAAGGGCAGCAGCAGTGGGGATGTGTGCCAGGCCCAGCTCCTCACCTGTGCAGCATGATGGAGGAGCAGGCTGTGAGGTTGAGGCTGGTGGTGTTCACCCCTCTGCAGGACTCGTGCAGGGTGAACCCGAAGCAGATGAGGCAGGAGCAGATGGTCAGGCTGAACTTCAGCAGGAAGCAGAGCAGGAAGTAGTGCTGAGTCTGAAACAGGGAAAGGAAGGAGGATGACATGGGCATGTCACTGGTACAACCTCCTCCCCAGGACCATCAGAGGCTGCAAAAGACAAGCTGTAGTACAGATGAGATGCTGCCCTGAGGATCTGCCTCAGGCATGCTGGAACAGGACATTCCCTCCCTGGCTCCTGCCAGGGATCAATTCACTGAGCAAGCTAGGAAGCAGTGTCACAAACATGTTTTATGAAAAATCCTTTCCTTAGGGTTTTTTCTCCTGAGAAGCTGAGAGGCCTCAGGAACAAAATGTAAACAATGGTTATCTGCTGCTGTGCAATGCAACAGGTGCATCTGGGATTGGTCCATGTCCATTGTTTCTAATTAATGGCCAATCACAGCCCAGCTGTCTTGGACTCTCTGACAGACACAAGCTTTTGTTATTTATTCCATGCTCTCCTTTCCTTGCAAGCCTTCTGATGAAATCCTTTCTTCTATTTTTTTAGTACAGTTTTAATATAATATATACCTATATATTATATTAAAATTATATTATATTATATTATATTATATTATATTATATTATATTATATTATATTATATTATATTATATTATATTATATTATATTATATTATATTATATTATATTATATTATATTATATTATATTATATTATATTTTTTTTTTTTCTATATATATAAAATAATAAACCAGCCTTCTAAAACATGGAGTCAGAGCCTGGTCTCTTCCCTCATCCTGGGACCCCTGTGAACACCACCACAGCACAGGGCCTCAGCTATGGCCTCCCACCAACACTGGGACAAAACTGAAGAGAAAAATATGTGGACAATTTAAATCTGAGGGGATACCTACCTTCTTGGGAATGGAAGTCAAGTTTTTTCCTGTTGCCATGGTCATGATGGAGCTGTGGGGAGGCTTGCCCAGGAGTGAGATACTGGAGAAAGGTAAGTTAAGTGTCTCAGTAATGTGTTCAGGCACCAGAGTTACTGTGCTTTTATCTAACATTTGAACCCAAATAACCTACTCAGACTGCTTGAAGCATTGGCACTTATCTTTACATATGCTGTAAAAGGTGTTATTCATGGCAGGTACAGACAGAGAGAGAAGTGAGAAAAAAACCATCTGTGGTACCTTGGCCTCTACCCAACACCCCAGATCTTCCATCACACCAGGCAGGGGTGAACACAGCAGCAACAAATGCTCCTGTCACTGTTTCCAAGCACTTTATCAAAGCAGCTGCTTGGAATAATCCCTGCACCCTTCTCAGCATGCTGTGGGTGAAGGCAGCTTTCTCTCAGCATGGACACAGTGAGGCTGAGGGAGGGCTCTGTGCACCCTGGGGGAGTGGCAGGAGATTCACCTGACAGACTCACCTGAGCAGGGGGTAGCAGAAACAGGAGAGCCACACGATGTCTGTGGTGCTGAGGATGGGGGGCAGCTGCACCAGGCAGGAGAGGAACTGGACAGAAACAACCCAGAGTGAAGAGCATGAGCAGTGCCAGGACAGACTTGTCACCCAAAATGCTGCTGCCTTCCCTGAAACACTGGGGTGAACTGGTAACTGGGCTGCCACTGCACAGCCCCTCCATAAGTTTCTGTGGCAGGAGCTAAAGGGGATGCTTTTCTCCAGGGAAAAGGGATTTGAAGGTAAATGTATGAGGATCAGGGAGAAGGGGCAGCACAGGCTGAGATCACCAAGCCTCCGTCTGTGACTTCCCCACACACACTGTGCAAAGCTGACTGAAGGCCACGTTCCTCCCTCGAGGCTGCCCCACTGCAGCCACCCATATCCATGTGAGCCCCTGTCCTCTGAGCTAAGCACTGTCCCCAGCCAGGCCAGGACTCACCTGAATGACAACCAAGGTCAGCTGGCACTGCAGCAGGAAGAGGAAACACTTGCGGATGCCGTAGGTTGCGTGCCGGGCCTGGAAGGAAGCACAAGCCCTCAGAGCCCTGCTGGGAGCAGCTCCAGCCAGGAGCAGTCACTGCAGGCAGGGACAGGACATGTGGCCTGCAGGGGAAGTGGGAGGGGACAGCATCTGCACACACTGAAAGCAAAGAGGGATGGTCTCCTGCCCACATGGAGAGGTTCTGAAGGAAAGGCAGGATTTAGCCAAGGGGCAAGTTTGTTTAAACTCCTGGCTTTTCTGGGGTTTTGCTTCTCCTTAACACTGCATTGTTGCCTGGCTAGGGATCTCTGCAAGATTATACTTCATCCAGATGAACAATATTCATGTTCTGTTGCCATAAGGCACCATTTCCAATCCATTCCCTACACCTTGGACCAGGAGGGCCAGGCAGATTCTCAGAAGATTCTCCCTCTTGTGCTTCCTGGACAAAGGCCAGGAGTGTCACCCTGTTCTTCTAAGTTCTTCTAAACCTTCTGATGTTTACAGTTTTATAATGGAATTTCTCACACACTTTTCATATAAATAATGATTGTTTGGAATTCCATTCTGTAGGAGGAGAAATTTGATGGACTGTTGGTTTGACAAGTGTGGCTAGAGAGGCGGCAACTTCATCCTCCAATCTATGGTCACTTTTGAAAGTCTATAAATACTGGAGTTCAGAAATAAACTACACTCTTTTTACCTTGGACATTCCAGCTTGTGTGTGTCGTTCATTTCGTGTCCTATTGTGGCACAGGAGGCACAAGCCAAGCTCCTGCTGGCAGCACTGTGGGCACCTGGAGCACGGTGCCAGCGTGAGCTCCTGGCTCTGGGGATTGCTGGGCTCACCTGCTCTATGAGCCTGATGATGCTGGTGCTCTCCTCCTGGCGGAAGGACATGGAGCAGGGCAGGCTGTTGAGCTGCCCTGAGAGCTGCAGAGGGGTCAGCTCCTCAGAGCCATCGCTCAGGCTGGTGCTGGTGGCATAGCCAAAGGTCTCCCAGGAGCAGCGGGATGGGTACAGAGGGTCCAGGGCTATACTGCAAGGACAACACAGGGCTTGGTGAAAGGCCTCATCCCAGCAAGGAAACTGTCTCACTGCAGGCCAGCTTGGAAGGTCACTCTGTGCTGTGCCATGCTCTGTATACCTTGCTCAGGTAGAGAAGCCTAAGCTAGAACATGAAATTAGGACCAAATTCCCTAGAGTTCATTTATTCACAGAGAAATAATGAACATATTTGGGTTTGTGGCACAAGGTCAACAAATTGGCTGATCCATGGGGTACTTTCACTCTTTCACCCATTGGAAAGGATCTGTAATGGCAGTTGGGGCACAACAGTCCAGCATGTAAGAGACTTTCTTCCTTTAGGACATGGAAATACCTCTGTGTGTCAAGGGCCTTAAACAGACACCCCCATCCAATCCCCCCAAATCTCCCTCTTGTAGACAAAATGGGCAGAGCAATTGTGAGCACCTCCCTGCACAGCCCACAGGTGGTGTGAGCCATGGCTGGGTACTTGCTACGATGGAGGCAAAGGCAGTGGAGGAGGAACAGAGGCTGCCCCACCTGATGTCACTCTGCAGGAAGAGGCAGCTGTTCCGCAGGTTGGCAGAGCTGCCCAGGCAGCAGGTCACCTCCCCATACTCCTGCATGATCTTGATCATCTCACACATGGCTGCAGAGGGACAGAAGGAGCAATAGTGTGTTATGTCACTATGCACACAGAAATGCAGTGTTTCACACTCTTTCCAATCTGGATAACAAACAGATCCTTTAAAACTGCCCCATCTGATACTCATCACTGTGTACACTGAGATCCACAGTCAAAGCACGTAATTAGAAAGTTAATTTACTGCAGACCAGGTGCTCTATCTACCTGCCACTGCAGGAATTCTGTGGTTCACAGAACTATGACCCAGAGATTTGCATCTCCAGCTCACCTCTTTCAGACCAGAGCTGTAGCCTGCGTGCATAATACAGCTTCAGCATCAAATGCTTTTGTTAGAAAACAGCAGAAATGAAATAAACCTAAATAATTCAAACTGAAAATAAATACAGTGTTTCAAACTCAGCAGCACATCACTAGTGTTGCTGCAAGTCTAAAGGAAGGGAGGGAATGTAACAAACCACGTCAAAGGCAGTGCCACATGGAGCCATACTCAGAGCCAGCCCCTGTTCCTGCACTCCCACCACCACCACCTCCACCCTTTATCAATGTTTACTGACATCCCTGGGGCCTCTTAATCAAAGCTGCTGTTTGATTTGATTTTAGTTCTGTAGCTCCATGCACAGTGCTCTGTGTATACATGGATTTTCCAGAATGCTCCAGGCAAAACCCCCCAAACCTCCCCTCTGCAGATTCCCTTGTAAACACCTTCACTAAATGCCTGCTGCACAAAGACTGCAGCACTGAGGGGCTGGGTCAAGAGGGGAGCTGCCACTTCTGCCAGAGAGAGGAAATTTGGGCACTAAGAGTGAAGACAGACTGGACTGTGATTGACATGCTGGAAACTGTGACCAGAGGTACTGAAATGGCAAATCAAAATGATGCTCCACACTCACTGGAGATTTGGCAGTTATTTGCCAGTTGAGCACTCAGCCCCTTTCTTTAAGTAATAGCTCAGAGAGAGAGAGAGAGAGAGAGAGAGAGATTTTGTCCTTTCTGTTTCATGCAATCAAAAACTGCAAAGCAGCAGAAGGTGTTAACAGAAACTGCCAGGGGAACATTCTTCTGGGAAGTGATTTCCAAGTTATAGAAGAGTTGTGAGCAGAGATCAAATTCTCCTGGCACACTGATAACACTTATTTAATGAAAGGCAGTAGCATTTTGGATGTTTGCTTTTGTGTCTCTTATGAATGCAAATTGAAAGGGCTCTCAGCCCAATTCAGCAGCTGGACAACAGCTGCACTAAAATTCAGTTAACACCTGGCTCCCACAGGTAGCAACAGAGGGTAATTAATATCAATAAGTCCTTCTAAATTTCTGGAATGTATCCCCTTCCCTTCCATGCCCACACTTGGACGAGCCAGACCAGGGAGCTGGGGAAGGAATTCATGAATAGGAGTAGGAAAGGGCACTCTGTTGGGATTTTAGCTGACTAGAGACTGGAAAAGTACAAGGCCATGGCTAATTCCAAGTCCTGCAAGATAGCAGTGTCCTTGGGCCTAGCTGGGTATGATAACAAATAGTGAAAGAGACATGAGAAAAGAGATGTAACCCCTAAGGAATAGAAAAGAACTAGTGTTGTGGTGTGGCCAATGGACGGTGTAAATTGCAGAATATTCATGAGCTCATTATTTGCTGTATAAGTGTCTGATGCTCTCTTCAATAAATGGAACTTGCTGATGACTCCCATTGAGCCCCGAGTTTTCCCTGCACCCCACAAATGGCTCATCCCCAACAAAGAGCTCATTCTGCAACAGCACTCACTCTCTGGGGTGCAGTCTGTGAACAGGGGCACCAGCAAAGGCACGTTGTCAATGTTCTGGAGGTGAGGTCTCACCTGGTGGATCCCCCGGGGGAGTTTGGCCTGAAAAAGAGAAAGGACAGATAAAGCAGGGGTGTGAGAGAGAGGATTTCAGAAGGAACTGCTGAAATGAGAATGATGATTCCTAGAATTATGTAACTTCAAGATCAGATACAAAATCATGCTCCAGCAGATAGAACTGGCTTTCCCAAGGCACTGCCTGAAGTTTTCTGATAAAGTTCTACACTGACCTGCCAAGCTGCCTGTGCTTGCCCTCAGGGTTTGTAAGGTCAGTGTGACAAACCTGTGCTCAAGGATTCCTGAGGACTTTTTGCCTGTGTGGAGAATCTAGTCAGACACATCTGCTGTCTTCTAGCAACTGCATCTATTTCAACTGCAGCCACATCAGCCTGCAGCAAGGCAAGAAGGGTTCTTGCCTTCTAAAACCAGGCCTAAGAGATTTTTTTGATCTGTATCTCTGATATTCCTGTAATCTCTGCTGAGCACATGTGAGGTCTTTCTGAAGCAGGAAGGGCTTATCTCACACTCTGACCACTGGGCAGCATCAGTCTGTGGCTCACAGCTGGAGGAGAGAGTGTTTCTTCTGTCTGCATGGAAAGTGGGGATGTTCCCACTCCCTGCCCAGCCCATGAGACCCAGAGGAACTGAGATGCAGCTCTCAAGGTTACCCCATGTTTGCTAACCTCCATTCCTAAACTCCTAAGCAAAGAGCCGTTCAGCAAAAGTAACTAACTGAGAGAATCCCAAATTTCCCAGGCTCTAGATACCCTGCTGGAAGAGAGAAATCAGGGGTCCCAATGGAAACCAATCTCCTTTGAAAAGGAATTTCCTCTGGGAGTACTGAGGTGACACTCCTGCCCATGACAACAGCAGAGGGTGCACAGGGAGAGGGGCCCTCACCCTGTTGCAGTCCTCCAGGAAGCTGGGGATGTCACTGTCTGTTGGCTGGAAGCTGATGAGATCCGAGTGCCCTTCCTCCTCCATCAGCAGAAGCCCCTCCACATCATCTCGGGAAACTGGAGCAGAGAGGAGCAGCATAAACAACAACCCCAAAGCTGCCTGTGCCACCCCTGTGCCACCCCTGTGCCACCCACCCACGTGGGACATGCACGTGGCACTGCAGAAGCCAGGAAACGTGAAGCCTGATTTTCTGGGTTAGCAACACTCACATCTCCCACTCAGTCATACAAAATGCAGTATTTTTAGATGACTAATCTGTTCAGAGGTAGATATATGAGCCTAGTCTCTGCTCTTTTGAGACATGATACTTTATCTGTTCTGCTGTCCTTCAGGGGAAGAGAATAAAGAAATCCCAGCTGAAGTAAGATAAAAAAAGAGTAATGGACAGGCAAGTGACCTTCAGTGGTTTGACCAGGGCCCCAGCAAGAACCAGAAGCACTCATGAACACATAAATTCATGGCAACATAGAAGGATGTCTGTTTCCAAAAACTTGGTACTGGCTGGCTAGAAAGGTTATAAATGTAAAGTGGTGTCGCTTACACACAGGCACCTGAGGCCCATCCAGTTTTGTGCTCAAATCTCCTACAGATCAAGTGTCTGGTGTGGACACAGGAACCTATGAATGGGTTTAGAAGAAGCACCCAGGAAACAGATGGCATTCAGAGTGGCCAAGGCACAGTTCTCACCCTGATGGAGGTCATCGTGCAGGGAGCCAGCATGGCTGGGGCTGGATGGGGGGATCTCTGAGCCAGGCACATCACCGTTGGGTGTTAAGGATATGTGGCAATTCCAGCCAGTCTCCAGACCCATTTTCTCAGCAAACACCTGTGGGTGAGCAGACAAAGGGTTTTAGAGTGGCTGCCCAGGCCAGAGCACTGCAGACTGATGCCATACTGAGCAAGGTTCCTTCTGGACTCATTAGTGGGCTGAATCAGATTAACCTTACATTGCACTGGAGCTAAACTCTCCAGTCAGACAAGCAGGGGCCATGCAAGGTCAGGGGGGTCAGCAAAGACAGCTTACCTTGCTTTTGAGCTCATCTTCCAGGGAGAAGTAGACAAAACGAATGCAGGCATTGACCAATCCATCAATGAGGCGGACAATGTCAAGGCGGGCCTGATACTGAGATGAGACCATTCCCATGAAGATCTGTCCACTCAGAGCCTGGATACAGTCCTCCTTCTCCATCACTTCCCCAATCCCTTCTTCAGGCATGCAATCCCATTGAGACATGGGGGCCACGTGGTGGGGAGGCCACCAAGGTGACACCAAGGACACGGGATCCAGACACAGAAATGTGCAGGAATACAAACACAGGAGGGAAGATGAGGAGACATCCATTTGTCCCAGCATACCCAGTCACAGAAGTGGTTTCAGGACATCCCCACACAGGAGACCAAGAACACAAGTGGGAAACAGCAAGCATGAAAAGGAAAAAGATAAAACAGAAGGCAGGGATCAGTTACAAGGAATCTGGGTAGAAAGGTCAAGGATGTGTGCTTCATAATGTTCACATGTGCATTTTAAACACATCCTACTGTGCCTAAACAACATGATAAGTCTAGCTGAGGCACAGTGGCATCAGAGCACGAGGGGCTGATGCAAAGGAACTGAATCATGTTCCCTGCAAACACTTCCAAAAAGCCTGCAAAGGCTCTTTGACAGGGTTCCTTCACCATCACTAGAAGCCAGTGGTGAATGGGGGCTGGATGCAGCATGAAGAACAAAATAATAAAACACTTCACATAGTGGCAAGGCTTGCCACAGGTGGAACGCAAAATTATTCTGAAAACAGTCACAACTGTTGCTAGCTGTTGGAAACCCCACTGGTCACATTTTACAGAATGTGAGACCAAGGCAGAAAGAGTTTAAGACTGGTTTTCCAAAAGAGCCTCCTGGATTTATGTAATGGTATGTGCTTCCTTCTCAGCTTCCATTGCTGTTCTGAAGGATTTGTACATGTCATGTTCATCTAGTGGGAATCAGTTCCTTCAGTACAGCAACAAAATCTATCAAGGAATAATAGTTGCATAGCACTATGCATTTCAATCCTTTGAAAAGCCCATCCCATGTGATTTCCAGAAAATCAGACAAATAGCAAAACAAGTACTGAAACACCCAGAAGCCTTGACTCTCTGTAGCCTACTTTAGAAACATGTCAAAGGAAGGGGACCAGGACACCAGTTGGTTCATCACAGGCCCTTCAGGTCCGGTCCGGTCCCGGTCCCTCAGGTCTTTCTGGTCCAGTTTATTGAAGAAAGTATCAAACACTTATACAGCAAATAATAAGCTTATGAATATTCTGTAAGCCAAACAATCTATTGGTTAAACTATAGCATTAACTCATCCTCATTCCTTAGGGGTTACATCTCTCTTTTCTCATGTCTCTTTCACTGTTTGTTATCACACTACAGCTAGGCCTCAAGGACATGCTATCAACACAGGTGCAGGACTTGGAATTAGCCATAGTTTTGTACTTTTCCATTTTCTAGCAGCTAAATTCCCAACACAAACAGACTTCCAACAAGGAGAAGAATTTCTCTGTAAGCTTCAACAACTTAACTAGAAACACCCCTACCAGCTGCCACATCATTACTTCCTCCGAAAACCCATCTACTTCAGAAATCTTTCCTTCCAAATTTCCATCTGCTGCTCTGAACCACAACGTTCTGCCAGCTCTGGGCGGGTCAGATGCAGCAGCAGGGGCACACATACCATCCGAGCTCCAGCTGTTCCTGCGGCTGCTCTGTTTGATGGGCGTGGTGCCCGGGAGGTCGCAGCAGGTGAAGATGGCGCTCTGCCCTGGCACCTGCACCAGCTCGATGCACTTCCCGTTCAGCTGGGAGGACAGGGCACACTGCATGGGCTTGTAGGCAAAGGCAGAGCAGTATCCTGACAGGCAGGCTCGCTGGTAGAAATCCAGCACCTTCTTCCTATGTGGAAGAGGGAAAAAAACCAGGCAAAGTTAGCAAAAATGTGCCACATTTCTGATAATACAGAAATGCCATGTATTTGGAAAAATGTCTTCCATTTCCAAATGTCTGAAGAAGCCTTTCCCTAGTGCTTCTGCATTCTCCAAGCTGCAGGCACTGCAGGGCAACAAGAACACATATTCCAGCAGGGATAGTGGTGAATGTTTCTGTTTGGTCATCAGATTGATGGTTGTGTTGGATTGATTGATGTGTTGGAGATTTTTTCAGAAATGGCTTAGAAGGCAGCTGTGAGGAGCAAATTCTCACAGTCTGTTTCTGTAAACAGTAGAAGTTCTCAGGTTGTTTTTAATTACAAGTAAAAGTGACAAACATGAAGGCCTTGAGAACTTTGCATACCAGAGTTCTCAGGCAGCTTTCTCATAACAAGTAGATATTCTATCTTTGGCTGTTTTGGGAAAGTAAAAGTAAGTTTTGAGAACACAAATCTTGGTATTGGGAACAAAAGGAGGGGTTGGTGTGTTATCTCTGACCTATTGTGAGCTCGGGTTTGCAATATGCATGAACTTCATTAACACGGTTATAAAAAATGATTGATTGAGTCAATAAACGGAGTCAATGCTGATCAAGGAAGATGGGTCTTCTCCCTCCACCTCAATAGGTATGAATACAGAGCTCTTCAAATATACTTATTAATATAATATGCTCTATATGGCTGCCAGATGACTCCAAGAAAGTTCATTGCATGACAGCAGAAGCTTAATTCATCAGACATAATTTATCTCTAGGGAGATAAACACCAAAGAGGGAACTGACAACTCTGACAACAGGATCTATGGCAGAGATAGTTGCAGGAGCAGACTTTTCTCCTATCCCCTTTCAGAGTATGGGGTCCCAGGAGCTGTATTAAGTCAATATTCAGTCACTGAAATATGGTAAAGTTCCTTCTCTAAGCTGAATTCACAAAGGTAAGAAATTAGACTATACAACAGATTTTTAATTTGCTTGTAACATGATCAATATTCCAAAAAGGCTAAGTGCCAGTTTTTTCACACCTGAGGATATGCAGATTTAGAAGAACAATGTGAAAAGTCAGTGAAACTAAACATTAGTGGTCTGCTGTGCCAATAGGAACAGCAATTCAGCCTGTAGATAAAAATGCAGCACACACTGTCAGATATTGCAGCAGGACTCCAAGGGTGTGATGCTTTGTGTGGACTGGTTCAGGCACAATTGATCATTTTGCATTTCATGTAAGACAAAACATTTTTCTTGAAAAGCAACAAAAAATCCTCTGCTACCAGCATGACCTGATTAAAATTCAGTCCTACTACACAGTACAGTCAGAATCAACTTAAAAGAGGAAATATCCCAACAGATAGAGTGAGGAGTGGCCTGCTCTTCCAGTGCAACTGAATGCTTGTTGCTATCTAATCTCTTACATGCTATGATAACAATTAATTACAAGCAGAGATGGCTCATGTTCATAACCTACTTGAAGCTCTTAAAAAGCTTAACAAGCATCACTAAAAGAATTTTAACAGAGTGACCAGGTTCCCTCTGCATTTTATCTGCAGCTCCTGAGTGCCCCAAATGAGAAAGCTGCCCACCTGTCAGAGCCAGAGAGGGGGTAGATGTCAGTACCATCCCAAAAGTCAGTGCAGGCCTCAAGGATGATGTCAGCTGTCCCATGAGAAAACATCTGCTCAGTGCCTGGAGTGTAGGAGAACAATGAGTCAGCATCACATACACAGCTCCAGGAAGGCCATATCACACCAGCTGCTCCCTTATTTGTTAAAACATGAGTGTTCCCACCAAATGCTTTGATGCATTCCAGATATCCCCTTTTCCTCTGCTCAGAGTCTTCATTCTCCATCAAGAAATTGTTCAGGATTGATGATGCCCCTGTAACTGCCCTTTGTCTAACTGTGGGTCCAAACAAGGCTGTGATAAAATATGAGCCATGCAGTCCCTTCCTATTCTCCCCTTACCCTGTGTATCAATCCTGCTCCTATAAAGGTGTGATAATATCTTATTCCTGCATCCCACAGAGCAGAAGAGAAATTCCTTTGTGCCTCTTGTCAGGAAAGTACAAGCAGCAGTGATGAGTCTACGGGGATCAAAGTCTGCCTGTGCTGCAAAGTGCATTCATTTCTAGGCCAGACGTGGAACTAAAGGGTAAGAGCTATTCTTGAATACTTTTCATTCAAGTAGCAGAAGATAATTTGACAGTGTGACCTGTCAGATAACAGCCTGTTTCACATTTTCACCCTGAAAATGTGTTAAATCAGGATGGTAAAAAGTTCAGTATAGGAGACTCTAGAAAAGTAACTCAACTCATGCTGCCCTTAGGGAAGAACTGAAAATCAACGGACACCACAGCTTGTCCTGGTTTTCCTTCTCCCCCTATTTTAGTTTTTTAATACAGACTCAAAATCTCTTATTCCTTCTTGTAGTCAGAGGTGCCAAAAAGTTTTTCTCAGAGGTGTGTGACATCCCTATGCAGGCCCCAGGCACAGGACACAATTCAGGGGCGTGGGGCTGTCTCCCCTCCACACCTCCTGCTCCCTCTCATTTGTACCAACCCATCAACATTTCCTGCACGTAGAGTCTCCCTTCCCTCCTCCAGCTGCTCTGTGACTTTACCCCCAATGGCTTCAAAGCTGAGCTAATGAAAAAAAAAAAAAAAGAAAACCACCAAAGAAAAACCACTGCCAAGGAAAATGAGCCCAAAGGCTTCTTGCAGGCATTGCTGCTGACTGCTAATGCTCACACTGGCTGGTGAAACCCAGAGCCAAGAATATCCCCTCAACACAAACCAGCCAGGGACCTTCAGGAACACCGGAGGATTTTCCAAAACATAGCAGCTCTCTGCTTTTGCTATAAATAGTCATCACCAGCCAAGTTTATCAGCATAACAAACCTCCAAGACGAATAAGAGCTGTGTGTGAAAGAAGGAGCCTGTCTCAGGGACACAAAGGAGCACTTGTGCAGAGCTCTGGGTAATTTTATTGTATAAACACCTAATCCTTCCCACCTTGCTCCTAAGGTCAGGTAGTCCTTGCTCAGAAAGAGGGAACAAGAGATGTTTATCCATGCAAAATCTATGTGCTGGACACAGAGCAAGAGCTTGAAATGATGTACCCGTGTATTACAGTGACCTTAGACGGTCACGGTGGTGAGAGAAGGACGAGAATCTTGTTTCTTGATCAGAAGGCTTGATTTATTGATATATGATATATAATACATGATAACTATACTAAAAAGAAAAAGAAGTTACAGAGAGCTGCTAAGCTAAGAATAAAATAGAAAGAATGAATAACAAAGTTTTGTGTCTAAAGAATCTGTCCCTGAGCTGCTCCTGTGATTGGCCTTTAATAGTACACATAGAAGATGAGCCAATCACAGAGACACCTGCTACATTTCACAGCAGCTGATAACAATTGTTTACATTCTTCTTCTGGGGCTCTGCTTCCCAGAAGATAGACAAATCCCAAAAAAAAAAATTTCTATGAAAAAATGTCTGCGACACCCGTGTTCATGCCTGTCAGCAACTGCAATCATTTCCCATTAATTCCCACCAGAATCCCACACCACAGCCCTGCTAAGGGGAAAGTGGCAGTGACTGCAGACACTATAAACTGCAAAGAATTCACTGAGCTGTCCTTGCCAGTAAAATGAGCTCAGCCTTTTCCCTTCCCAAATCATGAATTCTCAGGCCAGGATTTCTCTGGCAAAAGGGGGAAAAAATGAATGAATAGGGCAGGGGGTATGACAGCCATTCATGGCTGCTGGGACTCATTGGGAAGCACCAAACTGCTCCAGGCAGATCAAAAGGAATGGAGCAGTGCAGCTCCAGCACAGGAACACAGAGATGGTACTGAAGGCACCGTGAGCACCTCATTTCCATGTGGTCACTATGGATCTGGGATGAGCACTGCCAGATGCTGGGACATGAATTTCAATAGAATAGTAAGGGAACATACAGATAAGCTGCCTCCTATTTCTGCTACAGCTGTAGAATTTATGTGTCTTGCTTTGACTGCAGCATGTCATGGGAGTGGGTGGATTCCAAGATTTATTCACAAATAATGTGTGGAGAGAGGTAAGTTATGATCATCTGGTCTGACTTCTGCATAAACAGAGCCATTTGACTTCATCCAATGTTATCTGCACAATCCAGTATTTCTGGTTCTAAAATGGCAGTATTTTAGGAAATTTCAAGGGACCAGACTATTGTGTGAGAGGTGTTCCAATGGTTAACTACACCCAACTGGCAAAATTCCTTTTAGAATTTACTCTAGACAGGATAATCCAGGTCACACCTATTCGTCTGAGCTCCAGGCTCTAACCTAAACCGTTTAAAATTGAGGATAAGGAGTTGAAATGAGGCAACATTAAAGGTTTTTTCTCTACACTAAAAATCTCAGCATCAAAACAATTCCTACTTACAAAGGCCAGGTAGCAGCAATAAGAACAAATGAAAAAACTCCTCCCCAGATAAAGACAAAAATTTAAGAAGTGGGTGAGAGAAGACAATTTAACCTGGTAAAACTCTGGCCAGCACAATGATCATGTTTCAGACTCAATATTGAACATATGTCAACTCTAGAGAGCCAAGTTCAGTCAATTTAAGGAATTACAAAGAGACTAAGAGCTCTGACAGGCAAGCTGTTAAATCTTTCTGAGGTGCTTTAAGACCTCAACCAGCTGTACATCCTTTCCATCCTAGCCCATTCCTCTGAGAGCAGGAAGGCAGAGAAAGAGTGGAGAAGTCTGCATGACTTCAGGCTTATATCCATGGTCACTGTGAGTTTTCAGGCTTATATTCATGGTCACTGCAAGTTTTCAGGCTTATATTCGTGGTCACTGTGAGTTTTATTCGTGGTCATGAGAGCTTTGTAATTTCTTATTAGTATGCAATATAGGAATGTGCAATGTAATACACTAGACAATTCTCAAAGATATTGGTTTATGATTTATCAGAAGGATGAGCATTATTAACTAAAACCCAAAGTGATATTCAGCCCTGTGCAGTATTAGTTCCACTACCATCATGAAGTCTATTAAAAACTCAACAAACCCATGCCACACTCTGTACTGCCATTTGTTCACAGAAAACAGGTCTACTATGTGCTAGCTAAGATATTTTAAAAAAATTATCTGTGATTCTGGAGTGAGCCAAGGCTGGGAAGAATTCCCCCCTCAGAATACCCCAGATGATCACTGAGGTTTGTTAATCACATCTGCACTGCCATGGGCAGAGCAGGGCCATCACCCACAGGCACTCCAGGCTCTTCCAGCCTGACATTTTCTGGGCTCTCTGAGGAAAAGCTCCCCCTGTGCCACGGGGATGCCCAGAGAAAAAGGCAGCCTTACTGGTAGTGGTGTCCTTCACAAACAGGTTAATCATGTGGCTCAGGGGGGGTCTCCTCTTGGTGATGGATGAAAGCTTCCCCAGGATGGTTTCCTTCACCATCTCATCACTTGGCAGGCGGTACAAAGCCAAATAGTTCTCCTGCTTGAAGAGATCTTTAGCACCTGGTGTGAAACCTGAAACATGAACACAAGGAGGAGGAAAATCAGGCTCTTTTCAATGCAAAAGGGAAGTCCCTTCTGATTCTGTGCCACCCACTTTGCCTGTGCTCATTCTGGCACCTCTGCAGCAACTGGTAGGTGAGCTGTGCTCAGTGTTCATCTATGGAAATATGGCTCAAGATCTAGGATGAAAAACACTCAAAAGGACTAGATTAGTAATTACAGCGTTCATGCTCTTGTTTACTGATGAGAGTAACTGTGACATCACAGGACAGGCACAGAAGTGAGTTCAAGTTTCCAGTTTTTAATCCTACTGTTACCTCTAACCTCTTACTGCCCTTATGCCTCCATTTTCCCATGTGTAAAATGAGCTGAGGTACATCCTTTATCCCCAAACACCCTGCAAAGCCCTACAGTAAAGACAGGACAGGTACATGTTCATTAGCAGTATTCTTTGTCTCCTGATGAGACTGACAGACTCACACCAGGAGAATATGAAGCCTAGCCAGGGCTGGCTGGCACTATCCCTGATAACATTTGTTCCTTGGATAGCACTGACAATGTCAGAACTTGCCAAAAGCCATCTCTTTAATAAACTCTTTTGGCAACCAAACAACAACAGAGTCAACTCTGCATTTCCACCTCCTCAGCAAACGGGACTGGGGAAATATTCTCATGCACTCCAAGGATGAAGTGTCTATTGACAGCTGATTTCTCCACGTCTGTTCATCCAGCTGCTCCTCACCTATCAGCCTGGCAAGCTCACAGAGGCCCCAGGGCACGTGGACAGGCAGCACAGCATTGTGGGTCTCCTGCAGGGCGATGTTGCACAGGTGGTCGGAGAAGCGGCACAGCCGCTCGGTCACGCCGGCGTTGCACAGGTTGAGCAGCACGTTCAGGCCCAGGGGCTTGAGGGAATTCAGGTGCATGTGCCAGTTGGAGTCATCAAACTGGATGCAGGAGGGGTTCTGCTGGTCCTGGGACAGGCTGAGCATCTCCAGGTGGTAGTCACACACAAAGTCTTCAGCCTCACAAGCCAACACCTCGCTGTCCCCAACAACCTGGTGCAGCAGGCACAGAAACTGCAGTTTGTTACAATGAATACAGCCTGAGCCTAGAATCCTGCAGGGAATTCCCAGTTAAACTGCCCAACAGTGGGGACTCCCTGGGTTTGAGTTTGTGTTACAGCTCCACAAAAGCTTAATTGTGTGCCCCTCCAGTAAGTCTCACCTGAGTATGCTCCTCCTCTCCACCCTCTGTGTCCTTGCTAAAGCTCACATTGGATCCAGAGGGATGTTTGCTTCTGCTGCTTGGCTTTCGGTGGGCAGAGGCTTCAGGAGCCTTTGGAGCATCACCAGACCAGTTGTTCCTCTCCTGCTCATTGGCCATGTGCACTGTGTCTGCCAGGGGGCCAGAGAGCAAAGCATCTCTTTCATGGGGCTGTGGGAGACCAACAGAGCAAAGGGAGGTGATTCAGTGGTTCAACACAAGGCACTGCTGATTCACCTCCTGCTTCAGACTCCTGTAGAAAAGGATCCTCACTTGTTTCTTCATCTTTAAGCAAAGAATTATGGCACAGGACTTCCCTACAAGGCCCCTCTATAATATCACATTGTGTCAGTCCAAGTGTGACTGCAGCCAACACACCACACTATGGGGTAAGGATCACCCACCTCATCTTCCATCTCAGGATGGCAGAAGGACCTTGTGGAGAGCTCGTCAGTCAGGTCTTCGTGGCTGTCATGAGGTGGTTCCACCTTCCCACTGAAGAACAGAACAGTCTCTGGGCTGGGGTTTGGCCAGGAAAGAATCCCCTGCTTGTCTACACAGCAGAGCACCTAGAACATCCCACAACACCCCCAAGAAAACAAAATCTTAGTGAAAACATCTGTGTTCATTCATAGTTGTAAATATCATGACTTTAATAAACACATGGGAGGACAGACAAGTCTCTCCTTCACCAACTTGCTCTCTGAAGAAACTGCACCTAATAACACTGCAAGAAATCCAAGAATTCCTTGCTCTAACAAGACTGATGAGTTGTTTAACGCCAATTTTACTTTAGCATGTTACAAAACTAGGCATCATGAAGCCCAAGGGAAGGAAGCAACTATTCAACCTATTTCACCAGCTAGTACCTTACCAGGACCCAAACCAGCTGGTTCTTGCACAGGAATCAAGAGGATAATTTATCCAGAACCAGAGCTGGAAGATACAGACATCCTGTCAGATGTCACAGAGTACCTCAAACCATTGTTTTAGCCTGTAAATGTGCTTGGACATGACAGGACAGTTATAAACTCTCCTACAAAGACAGGTGCCTGAAGGGTTTCTAATTCCAGCACAGTGAACTTTGCTTGCAGTCTGTGCTCAGGGAACAATGACATGAATGATGCAAATGAAGCATCCTCACAGGGCTCCTCGTTCTGACAAGCCAGCAATACTCACAGTGACAGATCCCAGACTGTGGAGCAAGCTGGAAGTGAAGCTCAGAGTTGGGGATTTGCCTTTTACAACACAGAGGAAGTGGCTCCAGATACAGCGGATCATTTCCTGAGGAGGGAAGCAGAGCACATCAGCCAGTCAGAGACTCATTCAGGGAAGATGAAGGGAGAGAAGGGGAAAAGGGAGTAGGACATTACCTGCTTTCACTTTCAACACAGGGATACACTGTAAGATAGCCATCAGTCTCTGTGGGAATCTGTTACCTGATACAGTGCTGGTGTTCTCCAGGGAAAAGCATTTCTTCCCCTTTCCACTGATTGCTAACAGTCAGTCTGATTGTTGAATTGAGAATTCACTGAAACTACCTCTTGTCCACCCAAAACCACAGAAATGAATTCTGAAGTGAGTTCATTTCGAGTGAATCAGTTGTCACCTCTTGGTGTTTTTATCCTGAAGTAACTCAACCCCTTGGACTGTGGAGTTTGAGGCCTTTGAGTTCCCACCACCATGCTGCAAATCAGGTAAAGGATGGGGTCCCTGTGCTGAGGTGACTTGCTCAAGGTCACTAACTGAGGCAATGATAACATCAGAAACAAAGCCAAGGTGCCCTGACTACTCCATTCTTACAGAGGAATTGCAATGGAACAGAAAGAAGGGGATATTTTGTAAAATTAAAATGTCCAGTTGGCACCCTTCATTTTCTACACAGATATGTTTCAGAGGGAGTCTGGATGGCAGTAATCAATCCAAGCACCAGAGCTGTGTGCTGTCCTCTGGCAATTCTAAAGCTAGCAAAACCAGGATTGAATTACTGTGTTATTTTACTGCTTTTTAGTTGTTGTTCTGGAATACTGTGACTGCAGAGCACTTCCCCCAGAGCTCCTCAAATAATTTTCCCTGGATTCTAATGGTTAGTACAGCAGTAAGCTCAAATACAAAACAGTCTGGAGCTATCACCAAGAAAAAAAAATGCTCTTATTTAAACCAGTTTCGTCTAAGCAAAAATGTTACAAAAGGAAAGAAAGAGATCTCCTCAACAAGGTAGGCCAGCTAAAATCACCCCATTTAATATCTGAAAAACATCTCAGCTAAATGATGAACTGGCACAGAAAGGCAACAAAATTATCAGCAAAAGAAACACATGTGTGTGCACCCATGTGCACTCCTCTGAGTGACTGGAACAAGGAGACAGGAATTGATTCTTATCATATCAAGGGATTTTTAATCACTCCTGGAGTCCATCTGCATCCTTATGGAAAGGAGAACCTGAACACCAGATAAACAGAGAAGTATCTTTCCTTTACCCACCTGTTGAACCTGGATGATGCAATTTATAGAGTGGCCAGAGTGGTTCCTTCCCTAGAAAAAGGGCTCCTGAATGTTTAATTGCCCCAGCTCTGGAAGCACCAGTAATGTGCTTAAGCCTGATAAGAAGCCTATGGAACAGGATCAGACTTTTTAAAAGCCTGAATACCCCACAGTCCTTCTGCAGTTTGGTCTGGGTGCTGACCACCATTCCATTCCTCTGGGTTTTAGTTTTGGCTTCAACAAGGATTCTCAGGTGCAAGCAGAAGACTTCACTTCGTTCAGACACACACCATATAAAGTTTATTTGACTTCTGGAACAGGACTTGAAAGAGGTACTGTCTCCAGGACAGAAAATGTTGATTTCAAACCATTTGCAATATTCAGAAAAGCCCAACTGGACTCAGCATTGAGGTCACCTCAAACTCTAGCCAGCACAGCAGTATTTACATGGGGAGGTGGAAGGCAAAGACATGCAACCTGCATGCACAGCAAATTAAAGCAACAAATGAGTGACAACGGACAACTGACACAAGTAAAAAGGGTCTAGCAACAAGCAGGAGATCAGAAAGGAAGGGAAAGGATATCATGAAGTTCTGCAGTGAAGATGGAGGAAAACAATTCATAATAATAGTACCTGAGAAGATACCATCTCTGTGTAGCTGCTGAGAGTGTCCTCTGAAAACTTAGCAAGCTGCAGCAAGAGAAGAGACCAGTTACTATAATTGTGCTCAGAAATGTGCCATGAGGAACATCCTTCCCACAGGATGTGCCTTCAGGGAGGAGAGAGCAGGAGCCCTGCTCTGGGGGATGGCTGTACCACGGCAGACCCAGCACTCATGGCAGCAATTTTGGCTTTAATGGACTCTGCTTTTATCTGCTTGTGAAGCACAGGCAAAGTGCTCGGTGCTGTACATCACACAGCAACACACAGTCATTACCTACATGCCCACAGAGAAAATAATAGCAATTAGGCCCAGAGGAGGATCTTTCTGGGTGGTTATTTTTGGTTAGAAAGAGGCAGGATTGAGTGATCTGATTTTCACTTATATGGGTCAGTTACAGGAAGGGAGCTGGAAGATGGGCTGGAAAAGCAGGTGCCTGGAACACAATGACACAGAGGAATGAGGCAATATGAATGGGATGTGAGAGGAAATGAAAAGAAATTACAGCAGGGCACCACCACGGTGCTCTTGGAATCACCCTGAGAAATTCACTAACTCAGAAATTTTGCATCCAGCACAAAGGTATTCCACACTAGATGTAATTTTGAAAAAGTTTAAATTTCAGTGTATTCACAACCACAAGTGACCACGGCAATTACATTTATATGTAAATAAAACTACAGCCCAAATAATAAAGCATATATCTGGCATTTGAAAAAGGATCAGTTTAACAAAGCCATAAAAAAGCCAAGAGAAATATGTCAGAAATCATTTAAACTGAGAACCATGAAGGATAATTAGGAACTGCTTAAGAATATTTTGTTACAATTTTAAAAAGCAACAATCCCATAGTAAAATAGGAGACCAGTTTTAAGTGAAAATAGAAGTAAGAATTAACATAAAAAATAAGGAGAAGTATACCAGTTGGTAATTAAAACCAGACCACTGCTTGTTAAAGACAGTGAAATTGCAAATGACATTGTAGGCAAGGCAGACATGTTAAATAAATATTGCTATTCTTTATTCAGTGATACAATCATACCATAGGATAACTATGAAATATTTTCCATTCCAACACCAGCTACAGAAAGTAAATATGTTTAAATTAGCAGGTCTGGACAATGACTATTACTGCTGATTTTGCAGAAGGCTTGAACTATGGATTAAATCCCAGTTCAATGGAAGTGGTGCCAATGCCCAAAAAGGGAAGGAGAACCATCCAAGTTACCACAGGACCCCAGACAGACTTTGATTTCAGACAGAATAAAAGAGCAGCTAATACGAGACTCAATTAAAAGAAAAGAAGTGGAATAATAAAATCAGTGCCAAACACCACAACTATATGAGCAACAAATCTCCTCAAACTATTGTGATATCTTTTTTGACAAAATTACAAATTTGTCTGATAAAAGTACTGCTTTTGACATAGACCATTTGTTAATTTGACTTGATTCTAAATGCTTGACTAGCTTTCTAATGAAAACACCAAAGTAATAGGGCCCATGTTAGATATATTAGAAACAGATTATCTCTAAATGGAAGAGAAACAAAAATTATTTGCAATGATGTGCTACTACCTCGAGCAGGGACAAATCTGGGTATTTTGTTAATAACCTGAGAGAAAACTAAAAACAACATATTACTGATAGAGACTGTAAAGGATACAAAGTTTAGGGCAGGGTACAATGTAAAGAGGACAGACCACTGTCACAGAACAATATGGATTGCTTGGGCAGTATGCAAAAACAAGTATCCCAACAGGCACAAACTAAGGCTGTGTATTTAGGTGCAAAAAATCCTTACAGGATGAGGATTCTCAGAAAGCATTAACTGCAGCTGAACTGCAGCTGAAAGATCTAATGGGATCCTTTGTGGTACAAACAAGGGAACACAGAGCAGAAAGTCCAAATTGTTCTGAAATTTATCAAAAGCACAGCTATTACTGGAATATTTTGTGGGGCTTGAGATCCATAACCCTACACTGTTCCTGAAACAGAGGAGAAAGCTAAGAGGAATGCCAAGAGAAAGATTAGGGGTTTGGAAAATATGCTTATAGTGCCTCAAGGTGCTTGAACTGTTTACTTAACCAGAGATGGTAAAAAGGAATGTGAGTAGTTACAACAGACCAGAATTTTGATTGACGTGCTCTTTGCTCTTAAATCTGTGAGACAAAAGATGTAAATTTTCCAAGGGCTGGAAATCAGATACTGCAGAAATTCCCACTAACACAGAATGTCCATTTTTAGCAGTGAAGGTAAATAATTACTGACAAAACCTATCAAAGGCAGTACAAATGTTTTCAAACCAAGAGCAAATTCTTTTCTAAAAGGAATGTTGCTGCAGTGCAACTGTAGTAATGAAACTTGAGGCAGGGGCTTGTTTAGGGGGCACTGGTGTGTGTCCTTTCAGCCAGTCACAAAGGTCACCTCTGGCCTTGAAAAACTGGGAATCAAACAGCTTGAGCATGATAGGAAGGGGAAGAAGCTGGAGAAGCAGCCAAGTGATAGGAGAGGAGAAGGGTCTTACCTGCTACATTTAGAGCAGAGAAGAGAGAAGGAAGGAGGGACACAGGGAGGCCAAGTGACTGCCTGGGCAGGGGTGAGTGACCAAGGCAGGTCACAGCAGCTGCTCTGCAGCAGCAAGGAGGGAGCAGCATGTCTGAGATGCCACAGAAAGAGCTGCCTGGACAGACAGAGTTGCCTGGACAAGAAAAAGGAGAAGACAAGAAAGGAAAAAAGGAAAAGTGCAAGTGTGAGTGACAGGGCAAATGGGAATGTTAAGAATGATGGAGCAAGGAAGCCAAGGAGCTCTGGCTTTTCCCAGCTGAATTGAGAAGGGAAAGAGGGAGGTTTCAAAAGTAGAATCCAAGTGATGCTGAGAATGCACAGGAAAGGTAAAGTGGTGAAAACACTGAGAAGAGATTATAAATGTGCAAATGCTACTAAGGATTGTAATGTGCCCTTCCTCCCAGGACACAGGCAGCTTAGTCATGTTCAGCTAGAGATAAAAGAATAGAAAACACAGACCCAGGGCCACAGAGGCCAAGGAGGGACAAGAAGGAGAGAGAAACTCTGTCCAAGTAACAGAAATCAGCACAGAAGACAAACACAGCTCAGTGCATCTCACCAGCACTGCCACCAGGACAAAAGAAGGGACACACAACAGCACATCAGCCCAGGACCACATCCCATCAGAGCACCAAACTCCACTCCCCAAACCAGCACAGCCACCAGAAACTGCTCTTACTCCTGACCTACTCAAAGGCCACACCTGCAAACAAAGCCCCAGAGCCTCAGGAAGGATTGTTCAGCCACAGGGCTTTGCAGAGGACATGATGTGTCTCACTGCTTCTCAGTTGCTACACATTGCCCAGTTACAGCCACCTCAGGGCATTTATCTCCATGCTGACCCCTCTGCCAAACTGTATTTATCTGACAGAAAACACATGCCATGAAGAGTATTATGGAATCACCAGAGCTTCCCATCACCTTGGGATCTGTAGAGAGGTTGAAAAAATTAAAGCATCTGTTCAAGAAGCAATATTGTACTCCAGGGAGAGGGGACAACAGCTGGGACAACCAAAGATCCAACAATGTTTCACAATTATGTGGACAAATTGCTGAATTTTCACTTCACAGAGCCTTTTCACCTCCTGCCCTTGTCTCTGCAATGGTTTCATGTGGAGAGAAACCTACCAGTGAGGAGGAGGAGGCCTTGCTCATCTGGGCCAACACTCTGGCTTCTCCAAAGGCTGTAGCAAGAACCCACAGGACAGGAAAGAGCAATGGAAGGATGGGTAAGACACCATTCACCTGAAAAAAACAACCTGTGATCACCAACAAGCACAGAGACAGAAGAAGTCAGAACCTCTCACATGACACATTTTCCACCACAGTGAGAGGAGGGGGATAAAAGGCCAGGGCAGGAAGGAAGGGGACTGGGAGCAGTGCAAACAGTGCACACCTTAGGGGGGTTTAATAAAGGAGGCCATGAATCAATCACACCAACTTGTTTTTCCTAGTGAATTTGGTGTAAACACTAATGAGTTTAAATGCAAAGGATACCATATATATATATATATATATATATCATAGATATAGATAAACACATACATGGCAAATGAGAGAGCAAAACATTTAAAGGTAATTCTGTAAGGGAAGTTCTGATGTCCTCCTCCACTGAATGCTCCTGGACCCAGCATGCTTTCAGATCCAGGAAGCACAGGATGCTGCCACAGGATGAATTAAGTCCTGACAGAGGGAATCCATCTCAGCAGTGCTCTGGAGAGGAGGTGTAGTGAAGCTCAGAGCTCTCCTTTACCTGCAGCTGAAGAAGAGTGTACTGCCAGGAGGCAATTCCAGGAGCGTGGAAAATGAAGCGCACGGCATTGGTGATCAGGAATCCAGCCTGCAAGTCAGAGATGGCACTGTCACCTAAATACTGCCACTTGCAGGGAAGGTGTTTTCAGTGCCTTGGAACATTCTCAACCGTGGGGAAAGTATGAAAAATATATTTTTGATCTGCTGCTGCAGTTCCTTCCTCCCTTCTCATGGTTATGTGGCTCAGCATCTCTGAACTGCTCAAGGTACACACAGTCAGCTGCATGAGTGAGCCTGGCCACAGCTTCCTGTTGATGGCTGCAATTCTTCAGATTTATTGACAAAACATGGTTATTCTCAAGGACAAAGGCTTGGAATGAGACCTACCAGCACGATAGGGACAGCATATTTCAGCATCACTGACTGTACAGTGAACCTCTCATTATCCAGGGCTGTCACAGGCCGTGACAGAGCCATTTCCAGGCACCACCTAAAAAACAGAAAACAGCTGGAAATTTCAGCAACCAAGACCCTAACCCTTCACTTTCCTTGGACATAAACCTCCCAGCAGACCTGATTAGAACACTGTGCTCGGCCTATGCTATGAGGGAGGGCTGTCAAAAGAGAAGCCAACATCTACAATAAGAGTGAGGCACTTGCCAGGGTAAATTTGCAGTATTGCCAAGAGAACTTCTCAGGTCTCCTCACCTGCTTAGCAGGAAGGCAGCACCAAGGACACAGACAGCTGGGTAGGCACTGTGCCCCACATTTAACCCACCTGACATTATCAATTATTGGGGTCTTCAACACACGGAAGAGACGATAGAGCTGAGGATTCTGAGGTCCCTTCTTCACTTCTCCCCTCGGGGAGGGCGGGGGTGAGAAGGGTGGAAATAGATCTCCAGGCTCCAGAACTATGTGCTCATCATCCTAGAAAAAGGTCAGAGAGCCCAAAGGCTTGTGTTCAAGCACACCTGGTTATTTCATGAGAATTGGTATTTGGAGTGAAAGTTACAATTAAAACCACCAAAGGTAAAATTCAAGCTTTAAACTTTTTCCAACGTTCTTCAAGCAGTAAAATCTTTGTATAGATCTTGTGAGTAGTTAATTTACTTCTACACCAGGTATTTTATATTACCTTCTCAAATCAGTAGTAAGGAGAAGGTCAAAGCAGACAAACTTTTATTTCTGCACATAAAAAGCAGGATAAAGGATGAGGTTTGTATGTCATATTATCCTGGATAGATTCCCTCATTATATTTAGCAGCACATTACATTTTCCCCTTGACCTGAGAGAGGAGGAAATCTGGTGCTTTTGTGTAACATCAGTGTCTCCTGTCCAGTGAGCTTGGGAGTTCATGGAGAAGATGCAGCCTGGCAAACTAAGCATTGTCCTTGACTGAACTGGAATTTCAAGCTATTTTCAAGGTCAGAAGAAACCAAACACTCCATAATTTGTACTCTGGGAATTAGAGTATTAGCACGAAAAACCTGGGAAATCAATTATTACAGGCCAGGGAAATCAGACAAGCAAGTTACCTTAATCCCTCTCAGAGAAGCAAATGATTCCTGGCCTGGCCTCAAAGCCACAACATCTCCTTCCACCAAGAGGCTCACGGGCAGGTTGACAAGATGCCCATCCCTGTAGGCCCAGTGAAGGGACCAGGATGGGGCATAAGGCATGTGAAGGTCAGGGTACATGGAGTCTGGCCATTTCACCTCTTTGCCAAGTGTATCTGAAAGCACAAAGTGAGAAAGAATGAAATGGCAGCAATTCTGGATTTACATCCTGTAGTGGTTTTAAGTCCCCCAGTGCTAAGCTCTGCCCATTCCAGTGGTCTTTTATCATCTCTCTCTTCCTCCTTGATGGATTTTCCCCTCTCTCTCCACTCAGTATTAACAACTACACAGTTTTTAAAAACCTGTACAACAGAAAAGCTAAAGGCTGTATTTAAATCTGCCCCACTGAAAGGAACTGCCCCCTCAGGTCCCAAAGCCCCTGTTGAGGTGATGCTCATGCACAGCAATTTATTTCCTTCTGCTCCCTGTTGTGGTACAACCCCACGTGCTCTCCCCTCCTCATCTGCTGCAAGGCAGATATTTTGGTAAGGATGTGAGGATTTGAATTACTCCAAAGCACAGCCATAACAGACGCCCACCTGCTAACACACAGCTTGGAAGCACATGGCCACATGACAGCTCAAAATAACCATTGTACAGGACAGGCATGGGGAGAACACACTTCCCACAGCCTGCTTCTGTGCAACACGGGGGAAGGTTAGCAAGCTCTGTTAGGAGTGCATGTGATCAGGTTTGGGGAAAGATTCAATGGGAGGAAAACACCAGTGCAAATGGGGCAGATGAAGGAGAGCTCACCGTTTATCTTCTCAACGATGGTCTGAAGCCTCCTCTCCACCTCTCTGCACTTCAGCCTCTCCTGACGCCCGATCATGAGGAGATCCAAGAGGAGCAGGAGGAACAGTGCCAGTGCATTGACTATCTCAGCACCTTGGCTTCACACAGCAAAACAGGAGCAAGCAGAATGCACATGAGGTTTGAGTAAACAAGCAGAATACACTGCCAGACACCCACAGAGATAAACACTCAACTGCCTGGCTGTTTATTTCCACATCTCACAGATTCGTGGCTCAAAAAGAAACGCATGATCACACTTCTTTAGGATAAAGACACCAGAGAGGTCTGAAAGGACCCATCTCAATTAAAAAATACTTTACAAATATGGCCAATGCATGTATAGCACACTAACTTCTCCCATGAGCCACTAATTTCTCCAGTTTCAAAATGCTTCCTATGATAATGCCTTAGAAGTCTTAAAGATCTAGGAATGCTGTATAAAAATAAACCCCTTAATCTCTCAGGAGGACACTCTCTGGGTCTATTACAGGTAGAATTAAGTTGGCTGAAGTTTTGTGAAAGGGATTGATAGGAAATTACCAGTGTGACTACACTGATACCTAAATATCTGGACAGAATGAGGGACAACACTTCTGTCAATCACAGATGATACAAAACCACCACCTTGCTTCAGTTCAGCAGCACAGGAAGCTTTGCTCACCTCCCCTGTGGCTGGCTCCCATAGCAGCACAGCAGCAGCAGCCCTGCCAGCAGCATCAGAGAGGCACCAGGCCAGTGGAAGCAGGAGCAGCGGTTACCATGGTACAGGAAACTGCTCCTCCACACCTCCTGCAAAGGGAGAGCAGCACACACTCAGCACTGGTGGAATACAGAGCCAGACCTTTGGAAAAGCAGAGTGAGAAAGGGTGAAGACAGCAGCTGGTGCTCCAGGGAGAACAGGACTTTGCAAAACCCCTGCACATGACACAGAGCATCCCAGATCCATTGTGTGAATCCTTCAGCACCAAGGGATACTCAGCTGGTGAGTCTGGGTGAACACTTGCTGCTTTTCTCGACAGGAAGAATGAAAAGGCTTCTGTGCCAGGCTGTCCTATTGTCACTGACCAACCAAGGCACACGTTCAAGCACTGTGCATAAACACTGGCACTTTGTATTCAACACACATCCCAGGCAAACACAGAGGACAAGGGGAGACTGTTGAGCTTCACAGCTCTTTTATCTCCACCTGAGATGGACCCTCTAAGCTCACTGCCCTTGGTGGCTCCTGAAGTCCTGAGATCCTTCACAGGGCAAGAGGCATCTTCCTACAGAGCTTTGGCACCCAGGAGAGAAGTGCTCACAGAAACTCACCCTTAGACTCCTTGCTTTGTTCCCAAGGACTTCAGCAGTTCCTCACCTGGACACTCTGGGGGACAATGCAGCCAAGTTCTGTTTAGCCCTCATCTTTACTTTGAGAAGGGGAGACCAAGTGCCCAACTTGTGCTGTTTGGTGCCTCACCTTCCATGAAGTCCCTTTTTTCCGTTCCTTCTGATGCCCCTCCAGCAGTGCTGACAATTGGTCTCTCAGGATCGTGAGGGCTTTCTTTGTGGTCAGGCCCAAACTTGAGGTCATCTCATCCTGAGGTGCCAGAAAAATAAACTGGTTAGTGCTTCCCTATTTTCCTTTTGGGCTTTTTCCTGGTGGCTGACAGAGCATGTGACTGTGAATGCTCTGCACTCATCATCACCAGCCTGATTCTCCATTTTCCTGAAATCATCTTCCCTCCTGTGAACTTTAGACTGCTGGCTGGAATTAGAGCACTTAAATAGTATCAAGTAAACAAACCGGTCCTGACTGTGCTGATAAATACTTTATCACAGCACAATACCAAGTCATTTCTGTGAAACAAGATCTAATCAGTAGAGGTTGAGGACAATACAAACAGAGGTTATGCAGGCTTGAACTGGTATCAGCTTGTAGAGACAACAAAACACAGTTATGGCAGAATTTTAATGATACAGGATGAATTTTGCTAACAATAGTAAAAACTAAGCAGTAGGGTATCCACAATTCAAAACAAGAGTGGTGCAATTTCCACAACTGCTTGCTGCAGATTTCTGTGTGTGAGTCCTGCCTCTGTGGCCACTTTGATGCATAAGCTCCCAGATCTAAAGGCTAGGCCATAGATCAGTTCAGGATCAGCCATGACCCCACCTCTTACAAGAGCAAACACTGGAGTAAATTTTAAGGGCTGAACTGCAAGGGACACATCTGGACATGCAGGAAGCACAGAGTTCACAGCTCTGCTCCCTCAGTGCTCATCAAAGAGCAGCAGTCCCAAAGGACACATCCCAGCAGTGTGCCATGTGGAAAACGCTGCCATAAGATGCTGGTACAACAAAGTCAGGTAAACACTTGCATTTCTGGGCCAGAAGCATGAGCCCTCTCCTTTCTTTCAAATCACAGACTGCAGTGAGGTGCTGTGGGCACCACAACACTGACAGCAAATCAACAGGCAACAACAGGCAGGTGTCCATGAGAGGGCTACAGGGGGAAACTGCTAAATAAAAGTTCTCCTGGGCATTTCATGTTTTAATACAAACACATTGAGCATGTACAGCACATAGGATTAGGATATCCTGCATATAGGAATGTTCACGTGTGTCCTACTGTGCCCAGAGTACAGAACCAGTGAACACCAGCAGGCAGAAGTTTGTCCCTCCTGTCCCCAGCAGTGTGACACAGCCCAGAGCTCAGGCAGGAGCTGCAGCTCTTCCTGCTCCCAGAGCCCTTCCCAGCCCTGCCAAACCCACCATGGCCTCAGACTGCAGCAGCTCTGCTCCTCAGGGGCTGCCTGCACACACCCAGCTCTGCAAGGGCAGCTTGGCTCTGATCTGTCCTTCCTGTTCCTTAACTGCATGGTTTCGTGATGAACATTTACTGGAAACTAATCTTGGACTTCAGACTCATTTGCATTGATGGTCCAGTCCAAAACTGTGACACTATTGAGGAACAGAACATAAATTCTCTTTCAAATACCATCTACCACACACACACACTCTCCCCACCTATCAGAGACAACCTGAAACAGCAAATTCTGTCCAGGCAGAGTCCAGCAATGCTGCTTCAGCTGCACTTTCACAGAACTAAAAATAATCCTGCTGCAGTTTTCATTCTCTGTGTCAGTTTTAGGAATAGAGGAAGCAGTTCTTGTGTTGTTCTTGGAAGCAGCCCAGGTAACATCAGCACAGAACCAAACACAGGAGTGTCTCAAAGACTCCCAGAGGAGAAGATGGCAGTGGAGCTGGCACCAGCCTTGCTGCTGCACCACAGAGTGCTGCAAACAGGAGTGTCTGAGAGCAACACCAAGCAAGGCTCAGTCAGGCTTCTCTCTCTTGTCTGACTGCTGCCTGTCCAGGGCAGGGCAAGGCACCCACAGATGTAAAAATCCTCTCCGGCATGGAGAAAGCAGATAGATAAATAAAGCACACTGAATGAAAGGCAGCAAAAATAATAGGGATTTGAACTGGAAAGCCAAGTCTGCTTAGACACTGAGCTGGTTCCAATGCACTCATCAAGAGCTACAGAAGAAAAGAGAGGAAAGCTGCACTTAATGCCAGCATTACTACAGTCACACAGTGCCTGGAAAGAGAAACTGCCACTGCACAGCAGGCAGTGAGCACAGAAAGGCAGCAAATCCAGAGGCAATCAAAAAAGGCTCCTGGAACTCTTGCACACCTGCTCCAGACCTCACACAGCAGTTACTGGCTTGGCACAGGGTCAGTCAAGATAAGGGCAGCCACAAAGGAACAGTGGCTGTAGTAGGTGACAAAGGACAAGTGCAGTGTGGCAGGGCTGGGGAAGAGGAAGGGCAGGAATTGTTAAACACCCATCCTGACACTCAGAACATGGAGGGTTCTGCAAAGGAGGCAGAGCCAGCCTGGCAAACACACCCTGTCATGGGGGCACTGGGGGAACCTGCTGTGGGTGAGCACCAAGGGAGAGAGCCTGGGAGCCAAATGAAAGGGACAGGCAAGAAGAGCCCCCATGAGCTCCTGGCAAGGGGCAGCTCCAGGTTTTCACAACAAAAGCTGCCCTGCTAAGCCATCAACTGCTAATGAGGCATTTTTCAAATGCCCTTAAGTAAACCTTTGGCAAACCCGGGCCTCTGAAGCTGTCCCAGAGGGATCTTTCCAGCCTTTCATCAGCTGCAAGTGCTCTTCCTGCCACAAACCAGGAAGTGAGCACCCCAGGGTGAAGAAGCTGTTCACAGGAGGTGTCAGTTCATTAATAAAGAACCTCAACATTCACATCTTTGCTTTGGAAAGTTACACTCAAAGAGAAAGCTGCTAATTTTCCGGCCCAAACAGAAACAGCAAGACACCTTCCTACCCAGCTGCCTTAGCATAGGGCTTCCTCTGAAGAACAACAAAGAAAGAGCAGCAGTAAATTCCAGGTTACAGTGAAAGCAAACCCCTGATGGGCATCAGGAGGCATTTTAAAAAGCTGTACTTTCCTTTTGCCTGTGCCTAAAGGCAAAAAGTCCTAAGGACAAAATGAGCAGTTGCTTCCTCCTTAGCCCTGGAGAGCACAGGAGCCTCCAAGTGCACTCAGGGCTGCCCTGGAGCTGCCCCTGCCCTGGCCATGCCCCATGTGAGAGCCAGGTACAAGGGGAGGATTGCATCCCTCTGCTTTGGGATGGTATCAGGGCTCCCAGGAGTTGGGATCTAGGGGAAAAACATTTCCTTTGTGCATGTGATTTTATTCTCTAGAGGCAATGAATGTGCTGAGGTGTGGACTGGATGGGAACATGAAAAGATGTGTGAATTTCTCCACTCATAGTAAATATTTAACATGTTGAATTAGTGCTTAGCTTGCCTGAAAACATTAGGAAAAGGGAACCTGAGACAGATCTTGCAAATGCCCAGGGTTAGGAGGTGGTTTGGCTCTTCAGGAAGGAAACAAGAAGCAGCTCAGAGGCAGGAGATGAGGAGTCACTCTCAGACTTCTCTTTGCCTTATCCTTATGGCTGACCCCCCCCAGTTTGACAGGGGTAAATAAGTTGTCAAATACCAGGAGCTTTTTAAATCCATAGCCTTGCCTGGCTCATGGCAAATAGGTTCTCTTTGCCTTCCTCAGGGGTTGCAGGAGCATTTTCAGGCTGATAGGTAGGAAAAGTGTGGTTATTTTCTGATTTTACCTCCCACAACTGAAGTTGTTCCCGAGCAACACCACCTACCCATGTCTGCTTCCTGCAGCCCACCTTCATCCTCACACAAATTCACCACTGAGCTCTCTTCCTAAAATTCCAACCTTGTTCTTTTACACATAGAATCGTTTAAAATTACCTTAAAAGTTTATCAGCCATCTCACACTCTGCTACCTGATGAAAGACAGAGGTCTTGCAGCTTCCTTCCAGAGGAAAAAAGAAGGAGATCCCAGAATGTGTACAGAGGAATGGACACAAAATATTAATATATTTAAGTCCTCTTATATTTTCTCACAGCCATTACACATCCATAGTACCATATTTATTTGTTGTACCAGTAAATGTTGATATAATGTGTGCCAAATACTTTTTTTAATAATACAGGAACACAAATATATTCCTCACTTTCCAGAGCAAATTGGGTTGAATCATCCATCCTCTGTGGATTCAGTCCCTTGCAGAATAAGGGATTCTCACCAAGACTGCTGTACACTTGAGTGTAACTGCTTTTACAAAGACTGTTTAGGCAAATAAGTGAACAGAATACAAAATATTTGCTACAAGTTTCAATTCTCATAGACTGCAGATCCAGCCCTCTGATTCAGAGTGGTGCAAACCCCTGCAAGGCAGTTGTCAGACTGCTTCCCTCTTTCCAGGCTGCACTCCTTTTATAACACCTCTACTCAATTGCTTTTCAGAGCTGAACAGTTGGAGGTGGGAAACTGGGCAGCAGAATGTTCTTCCTTTTCCTGGGAGCTATTTTGCATTCCTTAGCACAAAAAGAAGGCAGTTTTTAATTTAACAATGACACTTTGCAAGTGATTAATCTACTTCAGGGATTACACCTCCTGAAATTGTAAGCATTATTCACAGGTTCAGAAACACACAATAAGGAGTAACTCCACCAAATATATTTGCATTTATTACTGCAAGGCAGATTCTTGTTTAGGGTAAGTCACAATATGGCACAAAGTGGGGGTTTGGGTCTGATCAGAGAGGATGACAGACATCAAACACATGACAACACACAATTTCTTGGGGTAGCATTTCATACAGCAGCCTAGTGTTAGAGAGGGATTTATTCTTGTTCTAAAGCAAACCACCCATCAGGATGCTGCAGCTCCTGTGCACCTGCAGCTCAGACTGTCTGAAATGGCTCATCCCTGCTACAGAGTGACACACATGGAGCCAGCAGGGCCACCCCATCAGTCAGTCTGGGCAGAAACTCCCTTTTATTACCCCATCCTTGGTCCCAGCCTTGCTTTCTGTCTTTCTTGGTGCTCTCCTGGCTACTTTTTCTAAGAGAGCAGACTCCCTGAGTCCAGGCAAGAATGTTTCTCTAATGACCCAGGCTACATCAATCATCCCCCTGACACATGGGATGAATTTTTGATTAAGACTCTGGACTGTCAGGACAGCTGGATTCTCCAATTTCTTCTGCCACTGGTTTCTGCAAGACAGTGGGAAAATCAGGTACTCCTCTGTGCCTCAGTTTCTCATTCTCTGATGGGGCTATTGACTCCCCACCAACTGTTGTAATTGTGAAATTATAACATTCACCAGCCAAGCTGAACGCTACTGAAAGCCAGGAAAAAGAAATGTATGTGGATATCTGCACAATCCAGGCAGCTCCACCAAGCAGCCCATGCTCTGTGGGAACCACTGCCTTTAAACCTGGACATGCTGGGAAAAGCACCAGAAGGCATGAGGAACACAGCTATTAAACTTGCTCTGAATGCACCTGACGTGAGCTTGGCAGCCTCAGCTCAGCTGCTGGTGGTCTCAAATCAAGTGAAACAAGCAGAGTCTTCAGCACAGCAGTGCCCAAGTTAATGGGGGGAGCAGCAGGCAGCAAGTGTCCCCTCCCCACCCCATGCAGGCCAGGATGAAAGGCAGCCCAGGCTCCTGCTGCCCCTGGACAAAGGAACCCCCCAGCTGGGTAACTGGTGCCTGCAGGGGCTCCAGGGTGGATGCTTTGAGGTTCACTAACAGGGCCTGCAAACAGACAGAGCTGCAGGAGCACAGAGCTCTGGGATGTGGCCAAGGCAGCCTGAATCACTGATGCACTTTGCTGAGCATTTCAATCCATGCACAGCATCCACGTTTTATCCTCTCCATAAAGCATGGAGTAAAGATGCCAACAGGCACAATCAACATTTCTACACAGGTAAAGCAAAGCCCAGCACTTTGCTTCTCCCCAGCAGCAGAGAGAGAGGCAGATGCTCCCCAGGAAACAGCCCAGTTTGGAATTGCACATTTCTCTGTCCCTTCCTTCATTCCTGTTTGGAGCAACCAATCCCCAACCACAGTTACCTGTCCCACCAGGCTGCTGGCAGGAAGAGACAGGGTTTATGCAGCACTTTGAAACACTACACAATTATTAAGCTTTAATTACTGTAATTTAGCCAGTTGCATTACTCCTCCAAGTTCAGAGAGCAGTTAGGAGTCTGTATTTATCCTGGCTTGAACACACAGCAGTGTTTTATGCCAATGCAGAGCTCCCTCCAGGGAATGCTAATGCCCCCCCACCAGAGGCCAGCAATGCTCAGAAATCCACAGAACTTCAGCACATCTTTCATCCCCTTGACAGTTTCCTTCCCATCCCCAATTCTTCAGCTGAAGACTTTGGGGACCAAAGCAATGACCCAGCCTGGCAGGTACACTGCCAGACAGATCCCACAGGGATGAGGAGGTTCAGCACTTACAGATCAAAGCCTATAGAAGCAACAGACAAATTTAAGCCATGAAGCAGAGGGGCAGCAGAGCAGGAGTCAGCAGCTAAAATCCTGTGTGGATCTTCCTATTGGTCCTGGGGTTAAAACTGCAGTTTAAAACAGTTTCTTTACCCTGTCACTGCCAAAAACAAGCTATTCCCCAGCTAAAATCATCACTCTGTTTCATATCCTGCCATAACCTCCTTCCCCCAAAACCTCAAAGCTCTTCATGCCCCATCACATCAGGCAGGATGCAGACTGGGGAGGGAGACATTTTGAAATTAAATGTTAAGGGAGAGGAACTTACTTTGCGACATTTGCCTTGCTGGGGGATCCAGAGATCAGCCTGCTTGAAGAGCATCTGGGCTAAATTCCTGCACCACTTCCCCAGCAACTTGCACTGCTGCTGCTCTCCAGAAATGAGAGAGCAAAGAGGGAGAGGGAGCAAGCTTGTGCAGAGCCCAGCGCCGCAGAGAAGGAGGCAGAAGCAGCAGAGTGAAGCACCAGTGTGCTGATTAACTCAGCCTGCCTCAGTCACGCTGCAGAGCCAAAGGATGGGGGTGGGGAGCAGGGAGCAGGAGGGATGGAAGCAGGGGGAGAAAAAAGCAGAGAGGGAAGAAAGTTTGCCCAGGATAGCACCAGATGTCAGAGAGAATGGTTCATTCATCAGATGGAGCCGACACAGCGAGGATGCCTGCAGAGCTGCATATGCATGCACAGGAAGGAATGATGCTGACAGACAGGGGTCTGGGCAAAAGCAGATGGCAAATTAGGTAGGACAAAGTGCTATAAAATATACTACAGGAAGGAACACCTGAGTAGGCATGGAAAAAGACTAAATTGAGACCAAGATGACTCCACAGCTTTGGATTCAAGCTCAATCCAAAAATACAAGTATTTGCTATTTAAACAAGTTGAGATGGTTACAGGTCCTGTCTGAAGTGTTCTCTTGCTGATAAAGAATGCTGGAAAAGCCCTTCTCAGCATCCCATATTCATCCTGAGCCACACAATTGGAACTAAAAGGTGCACATAAATTCACCACAGCCATGCCTGGGGCTCCACGTTTACCTGGGCATGGCACACAGGAGGCAAAGGATAAGTTAGACAGGGATGGGCTGGGTGGAAAAACAACAAGGGGATAGAAAGGTGAAGTAGGAATGAGCCTTCTCTCTCATTCCCATCTTTTGCAGGAATGTTTCCTTCCCACTGTTGGAGGGATACACCTTTATAACTGAGTTTTTATTTAGCTCCCACTTCAGCGCTGTCCTAATTCTGTCTGGGGCTTCTTAGTTCTGCAGAGCAATCACTAAAACAATTGCTTTCATTCCACACAGAAAGGGGTAAAGAAGTGGCCCAGCCAAGCAGCACCCCAGCAGCTTGCCAAGGATTGCACTGGCTGGTACCAAACAGGACAGGCACTGCCAGGGCTTCCAGTGTCAGCACACTGTGCAGCTGTGAAAATCACACACAGGTGTCTGGACTCACCTGCCCTGCCTGGACAAGCCTTTCTTTTCCTTTTTCCTTTTTCCTTTTCCCTTTCCTTTTCCCTTTCCTTTCCTTTCCTTTCCTTTCCTTCCCTTCCCTTCCCTTCCCTTCCCAAACCTTCCCAAACCTTCCCAAACCTTCCCAAACCTTCCCAAACCTTCCCAAACCTTCCCAAACCTTCCCTTCCCAAACCTTCCCTTCCCAAACCTTCCCTTCCCTTCCCAAACCTTCCCTTCCCAAACCTTCCCAAACCTTCC